TTGCATTACGTGTTTGTAGGTATACAACACAATACAATACAATACTTTTATTTCCTCGTCAATATAATACAACATAATGATAAGAAGGTAGGATGGTTGTGAGAGAGTTCATTGAGGAACTCGTCATCTAGCACAACCACCTGGAACATGAATTGTCAAAGTTCTGCAAAATAATGTCAATTAAAATTTAGATAAACATTTGTTCCCATGAGAGACAAAAAAGAAGCAACTGGAGAAAATAGCTGGGAAAAATTAAATGTTAAATTACAGCAGTTAAATGAAAAATGCAAAATTACACGTATCATACTCACTTACACACATCACACACACTCACACATCCATACACACGCGCACACATCCATACACACTCACACACATTCATTTCTCACTTACACACATCCATACACACTCACGCACAAGCATTATTCTTCTTTCTATGTCGACATTTAGGATTTAAACTGAACTGCTTTTGAGAATGTGTTCATCTTGTGTGAATTTTACTGTGTAATGCAGTTTCTGTGTTAAAGGATAGGTTAACAAAAGCAGCTGTTGCACAAAACTCTAGCCATTATTCATCAACCAGTCAAGTTGTTTTTGAAGCAATTTTTAAAAAGTTAAGCCCGTACAAGACTCAACAAAATCGAATCTTTTGGCAAAATTTGTTGGAATAATGTAAAAAAAAATATATGATATAAATACAATAAAGCAGAAAATTAAATTTGTATTTTTGTGCTCTGTAGAAATAAACAACAAAAATGGCTTGTCTGTGTTCAAAAAAAATCAAACTTAATTTGCGATTTTCATTTTAGATATTGCATGGATACCATTTTGTATTCTTTATTTTATTTATTTATTTTTGAAGGATGACCAAAAAAGATAAACTTGTGGATAGGCCACCCTTAACTAAAAATTCTAACCATAAATGTAACAGAAATGTCATGAAATACATACACATAAACTCACGCCCACACATACTTAGAAAACACATTCTTCTAGTAATAAACTTCATAGAAGCAATAACGTTGTGGCTGTTTGTTATTTAATATAATTTTATTAATTATCTGTATCAGGAGATAGAGAAATTGACACAACGCAAGCAGATGTTGGATGATGAACTAAGGGAGCTGTTGAAACATCATCAACACATCTTATCGTACAGGTTGGTTGGTTGGTTGGGCTGGCGTGTGATTGGTTGGCTGGTTGTTTGTCTGATTTGATTGGTTGATTGATTAATTGTAAGTGGATGATAAACTGCTGGATGATAAACTGAGAGAACTTTTGAAGGACCATCAACAAATGTTACCGCACCGGTTGGTTAAATAATTGGTCGAATGGTTTGACTAGATGGTTGCTTGCTTGATTGATTGTGTTAGTTTGTTGGTTGATTGATTGATTGATTGATTAGTTGGTTGGTTGGTTAATCGGTTGATGAAATCTGATGAATCCAAAAGCAATAAATTTATGACCAAAGAAGCAGAATTTAATTTTCATTTCAATTACTACAAGTCGTAAAACTATTACTGCTGCTACTTCTACTCACTCACTCACTACTACCACCACTATTACCCCTACTACAAACTACTACTATTGGCACTAAAATTAGTAAAACATCAACAACAATAACAATAATAATAATAATACATTTTACACAGGAGGCCATCTGAGAGCAAGAACAAAGACTCCGAGAACCAGGGCCCAGCAGCAGCTGCGTCTGTGCAGGCAGTAGCATCCAACAACAACAACAATAGCAACAACATCAACACAACAGCAGCAACAAACAGCAACAGCAGCGATGACGTCAACGCATCAGCAGTAAAACAATCGCGTCCGACCTCGTCGTCAACAACAACATCACTATCATCTCAAGCCAATGAAAATTCCAACAACAACAGAAACAACAACAACAGCAACAATAACAACAGAAACAAATACAACAACAATAACAACAACAACAATAAAAACAACTACAATAATGGTAAATATAATAACAAAAATAATAGACCTATGGCCTACAACAACAACAGCAACAACAACAACAGAAATAAATACAACAACAACAATAATAATAATAATAATAACATGAATTACGGTAATAAAACCACTGCTCATAAAAACAACAACAACAACATTCAAAATGCGCTTCAACAACAACATAACAGGCAAAGGAACCAAAACAGCAGCAACAACAACACAAACACCATTGCAAATAATCACAGTCATCATGATGATCACCACTCATAACCATCACTGACTATGATTATGCGAATGGTGCTGATAACGATGAAGATGGGGAAGATGATGATGATGATGATGATGATGAGAAGGATGATGATGATGGTAATAGTAACAATGATGGTAGTGATGATGGTCATGATCATTGTAGTAGTGGGACGATGATTTGTCACTAATTCGTTTCATATATGTATGTATATGTGTTTATATCAGTATGTCCTTTGTAATATTCAGATTATTATGATTTGTTATAACTATTATTATTATTATTATTGTTGGTTTTTTTATTCTTATTATTATTCGGTCGCCGTCATTTCCTCAGCAGCATCTTCATTCATATATTTATTTACTCATTCATTCATTCATTCATTCATTCGTTCGTTCGTTCATTCATTCATTCATTATTTGATTTGGTTTTTTTTTACTGTTTCAATTTCTTTGTTGTTACTGTGAAACAATAAAATTACATACACACCTACTCAAGCATATAAAAATAATATAATAATAGATAATAATACTAATAACAATAAATAACAATAATATTAGTGAAAACGTTACTGAAATTCCGACCGGACGTGTTGTTGGGCGGAAGTTAGCCCAGGAAAGATCAAATTTATGACGGCGTTAAAATTTTGGCGGGAATTCATTTTTTTAAACAGCGCTTGATTTTTCCGATTTAAAAATTGTATTTTTTTAGTTGGAGATTTATGAAGGTACTCGTTATCGGCGGAGATATACTCATTGTAACTACTGCTACTACTACTACTACTACTACTACTACTACTTATAATAATAAATTGTTATAATAAATAATGATAGTATCTTTATTATTACATAGTATCTTTACTTGTTTCATTTTGTTTAGTAAAGAATATGTGTATCGGTCTGTTGAGTTTTTCAGGTTTTTCAGTATATTATTATTACTACTAATAATAATATTATTACTATTAATATTATTATTATTGTTATGATTATTTGCCATTGTATGTAATTGACTAATGACATTTGCCTTTTATTAAGCTTCACTTTCTCAAGATTATCATTATTATTTTTATTATTATTATTGCTTATTTACGTTATTCTCGCTTATTATTGTTGTTATTTAAATTGATTATCATCGTCATCGTTGATTCATGTCATTAAGTTAATTGGTTTGACGTAATTAGTTAAGAGTTTCAATTGGATTTGAGCGTTTAATTAAGAATTGAAATTATTAGCAAGAGAGTGTGATTTGTTTCGTTCTCTTTATTTAGTTTTTATTATTACCTTTGGATAGTTTTTATATTATTATTATTATGTGATTAATATGGTTTAGTTAATTAATTTCTAAATTGATTGATCTAATCAATCAATCAATTAATTAAATTGATTAATTGATTGATTAGACACGCAATTCGTTTGGCTTTTTCGCATATGAGATTTCCCTTCCTCTTGCTATTATTGCTATTCTTACTTGCTCTTTAATTATTATTCAATTTTTGTGGAAATTTTTGGATTTCAAATCTCCCTTCAAAAAATGTTTCATCCGAGTTTCCTCTCTTCGGTTTTTTTTTTTATTTCGACACGTCATCTTTTAATTATTTCAAAGTTAATTAGTGAATTATCAATTCTTTTGTCCATAATACTAATAACAATAACAATAATACCAGTGATAATAATAATGTGTTGATTAATTTATTATATTGATATTAATGTATTTGTTTAAATAATGTAACAACGACAACAACAATAATAATGAAACTTGTTATGCTGTTGTTGTTAAGTATAGTATTAATAATTATATTTTTTAGTTATTATTATTATTATTGTGTGCCGTGTGTGAAACACATGCTTTGTAAATTCTGTTCTTTTATACGTGTAGTTCTCTCTTATGTAAAGAAGGATTTTTATTGTTATTACTATTGTTTTTCATCATTATTATTATTATTATTTAGTTGTTATCTTTTAAGTTTTTGACGAGGCTACATAAATATAGAAACTAATAAATATTAATTAAATGGCTTGGCCGTTCATTGTTCAATTTTCACCTTCCTAACGTGAAGTCGTACTTCTGAGTCCGTATTCTAATTATATGGCCTGTCACATCTATGGATTGTAAATACTTAAGTTTACTTTTAAATTGTTAATACTAAAGTTCGCTTTTAAACCTCGCGCACCGACTTGATTTGTTTACATTACCGACGGCCGAAAGACACGGAAAGAAAATGTTTCGTTGTAAACCAAAGAGATGTAAAAATTAGGTGATAAACCATACAATTTTTGGTCATAGTAGTGGTTTTGTAAATAATAATAATCATTTTAAATTTATTCTTGGTTTTTTTTCCTATTGTTTTTCGTTTTCATTTTTGACAAAAACTAAAATAATAGTTTACTATTTTTTACTTTAATTAAATAAAAATTTTAAATATTATATTAATGTAATACTATAATAATGGACTTCATACACAAATTGGTGAACCGAAAAAAAAGAGAACTAAATGAATTTAATGAAAGTTTCCACTTAGATGAAAAAATACTTACCACAAGTTATGGCCTGACTAATGTTAATCTCAGATCATACCAAATTGAGGGAGTTAAATGGTTGATTGCACATTACGAATGTGAAGTTGGCAGCATACTGGCCGACGAAATGGGCTTAGGCAAGACTTGTCAGGTAAATTAGAGACATTTTAGAATTATAATTGCTTGTGAGTTATGACACTTTTGAAATGGCTTTTTTTTCATACATTGTAGACTTGAATTGAACAGAAGTAGTTTTGTATTGTTCTGTCTTGCTGGTTGTATAATAATATTACTATTTACTATCACTATTATTATTAATAATATTATCATCATAATTTATATTATTATTCTTATTATTTATTATAGACAATTGCATTTTTGTTATATCTGTATAATGATAATGGAAAAAAACTTAAGAGGCCTCCTTCAATCATACTAACACCATTATCTGTTCTTAATAATTGGAGGAATGAACTGACGAGGTTGGAAATAATAATAATTATATTTATAATTATTATATTATTATTATTGTAATTATCATTATTATTATAGTAATTATTATTTCTATTATTGTTATTTATTATTATTATTAGATTTGCCCCAAGTTTGAAATTTCTGGTCTACACCGCTGATAAAGATGAAAGACAGAAATTAAGAAGAAAGTTATCTAATAATTATAATAATAAATATACTAAAAATAATTATAACTATAATAATATTGATGATGATGATAATGATGGTGATACAGGATATGACATCATTCTTACATCATATGAAGTTATTATTATTGTTGTTATTTTTTGTTTATTGTTTATTGAGTCTTTTTTGTAGTTATAATAATAATATCGATGATAATTCTAACCTACCAGATATGCCTTGTCGATCAAAGTTATTTCTTGAAACGTGATTGGTTGACACTCGTAGTGGATGAAGCTCATAGGCTGAAAAACAGCCAATCACAGCTTCACATTGCCTTGAAGGAGGTTGCTAAAAATAGAATTAATAATAAAAATCATAATATTAATATTATTACTAAAATTATTGTTATTATTATTACTATTATTTATTACGATAGCCTCATTATTTACTTGCAGTTCACATTTAAACATCGAGTTTTGCTAACTGGCACCCCTATTCAAAACAATTTGACTGAACTTTACTCTCTCCTATCATTCATTTCTCCACAAATTTTTTCTGATTCTCATCTGAATTCTTTTTTGAAGAAATATGAAAATATCGTTCGATCTAAAGATGACGGTTAGTTGGATGGATGGATAGATAGATTGATGAATGAATGAATGAATGATTGATTGAATGAATGAATAGATAAAGAAAAAAATAATTGGTTGGATGGGTAAAAAATTAATTATATAGATAAATAAATGGATAATTGATTGAGTGAACAAATGCAAAAATGGATTGATGAATATTGATGGTAGTTAAATTAAGTTGAAATGTTTTGTTTCTCTAAATTAATCTCAAATAGAGAGAGAGAGAGAGACAGACAGAAACTGAAAAATTAATATAAATTAAATGTTTCTCCACAGATCTTAAAAGGTTACTTGACACAATGATGCTACAGAGATTAAAAGCAGATGTACTGTTTGACATTCCATCCAAACAGGAAATAGTGATGTACCATTCGTTATCATCTTTACAGTTAGCGCTATATAAAGGAATCCTATCTAAAAATACTGGTTATTCTTTTTTATTGATAGTTTTTTTCTTCATCTTTCTATTATTTTCATTATCTGCATAATAAAATAATTATAATGGTAATAATCTTTTTCAGAACTTTTTAACTCTCGTACTAGCATCAACAAGACAAAGTTGAACAACGTCCTAATGCAGTTAAGAAAGTGTGTTTGCCATCCGTATCTGTTTAATGGTCGGTTGGCTGGTTGGTCAGTTGGCTGGTTGGCTAGCTGGTTGCTTGATTGATTTGTTGGTTAACTAATTGATTGATTGATTGTTATGTTCATTCATTCTTTTATTCATTCTTTCTTTCTTTATTCATTCATTCTTTTATTCATTCGTCGATTAGATTATTGCCCCAAAAACTTCATAGTTATCAATGTAAAAAAAAACTGTCGCATTTCATCATTTTATTGCAGTTTAATATTTCTTCCTGAACAGGAGTCGAACCCGAGCCCTTCGTGTCGGGTGAGCATCTCTTTACGAGCAGCGGGAAGCTGCTGCTGCTGCATAACTTGCTGAAACACCTGCACTCTCTCAATCACAAGGTTCTGCTCTTCTCGCAGTTCACATCATTTCTCGACATCGTTCAGGATTATCTCACCTATCAAAGTTTGTTTTCTCGTTGTTGTTGTTGTTGTTGTTTCGGATTTGTGATGGTTGTCATCAATGTCATCAGTATCATCATCATCATCAACAACATCAACATAATCACCATCGCAAACATTACCACGATCATCATCATCATCATCAACCCCACAAGAAATTAGCTACGAGAGACTGGATGGCTCCGTACGAGCAGAAGAGCGCAACATGGCGGTCAACAACTTCAACAACGATCAAACGACCTTGACATTTCTACTGAGCACGAGGGCCGGAGGTCAAGGTCTCAATTTGACCTCTGCCGATACGGTCATATTTTTAGATCAAGATTTCAACCCACATAACGACTTGCAGGCTGCCGCCAGGGCTCACAGGATTGGTCAGAAGAGGTGGGCTGCATAGGCGTGGTCTTGTATGTGACTGGTTGGCTGTGTGCATGACCTCGTCTGTGATTGGTTAGCAAAATGGTGGTCCTGCTAAAAATGTATGTCGAAAGATAATTAGCAATTACTATCGTCGACTCAATCAAAAAATTCATTAAACATGGCTGATGAGGTGGATCAGCTGCTTGAAGTGTTGGAACGTTTGAGGTGAAGAAGGAAGTGAGCGATAAGTTGACCGTCAGATTGGAGAATAATCTTTCGGAGCCTGCCCGCGTTGCTGACCAACGAAGAATACTAAGAACTCGCAGGCAGAGCAGCAACAACTGTTTTCCAATTTCTTTCCACCCACTCATTCGCGTAGAATGTGATTTTCTTGCACTATTGCCGTGAAGATCATATACAGAAAGCTTGCGGACGGATGTTTGTTTGTGTGACACTTTCCTCACTTCGTTCGTGTGCCTGCGTGTTTGCGTGTTAGTGATGCGTGTTAGTGATGCGTGTTAGTGATGCGTGTTAGTGATGCTTTACTCGTCTCTGGCGGTCTTTAGACGATGAAGACAAAAATATGATTGTTTTTATGGTAGCCGATAATAAAACAACATTAATATAACAACATATAATATAACAATAATATTATAACAACAACACATCCATAACAAAACTAAAAAACAACAACATATTTGTGACAACACCAAAAACACTACAAACACAGGAACGTGAAAATCATAAGATTAGTCGGTAAGAATACAGTTGAAGAGATTATAACGAGAAGAGCCGCTAAGAAGTTATTGCTTACTAACGCTGTTATGAACACCGCTGCTACTACTACTACTACTACTGCTGCTACTACAGCTGCTACTACTACTGCTGCTGCTACTGCTGCTACTACAGCTGCTACTAGTAGTGATAGTAATGTAGCATCGTCATCAGCGTCGTCGTCATCTTCTAATCAAAATGAAAAACTTGAAAAAGTATGTTATATTGCTACGTGAGGTTTTTTTTGTTCTTTCTACAACTTCTGTAGTATTGTAATGATAATAATAATATTATTATTATTATTATCAATTAATACATATAAAATAAGTTATTATAAATTTTTGTTTTTTTTTCTATTTAAAAAAAAGATAGAGGTCATACTGAAATTCGGCTTGGACAAATTATTTTCAAACGAGTGCAAAGGCGACGACAATAATGACGTCAATAACAATCGTGACAATAATAATAATAATAACACTAATAATAATAATAATAATAATAAAAACAATAATAATAATGATGTAGCCAGCTCGAGTTTATGCATTGACTTTGATCGTATTTTAGGCTATACGGAGAACGGTCACTGGATTGACGTAACGACAAATAATAATAATAACAATAATAATAATAATGATAATGATAATAATAATGATAATAACTATGGTAATGCTGATGGTATCGATGACAATAACATTAGTGATAACAGCAATGGTTGCCATGGCAACGATATTAGTAATAGTAGTTGTAATAATAATGATAATAATAATGTTGTTATGAAATTTACATGGGCTGACGATGATGATGATGATGATGGCGAGAGAAAATCTAATATGTACGTTTTTCAAGGGAGAGATTACTCAAATTATAAGACCCACCATAAGAATAGTAATAATAATAACAAAAATAATAATAACAAAAGTAATAATAATAATAATAGCAATAAGGACGATGACGACGATGATGATGAACCGACTAAAGCTGATTTAGACTATTTTGAAAAGTTGAAATTGGGTGATTGGCATTGTTTGTTTTTTTTCCTCAAAAATAAACTTGGCCTCTTTATTTAGCGCATAATTTAAATAAAAACTGATTTGTTTATACTTAATTTAGCAATAACGAACGATAATATTGTGTTGATCTTTTTATTTTTGTAGAAGCGGAATTTAAAAGTGAAAACAATGGCGACGACCACGATGATGATAACAAAAAGACTAGAAAGCTGAGACACCAACAACCGCGGGCGTCGACGTCATCATCGATGTTGCCAAAGATCCAATTTAATTTTCTAAAATCACCAAAGAAAACGAAAAAAGCAAGCGCACCGTTGACAGTTGAGCAGCTGGAAGAGAGAAAGCAGAGAGTTGGTTTTGGTTGTCGTTTTGTTTGTTTACGGTTGTCATTTTGGGCTATTTTTATTGTGTGCTTTTAGCCATAAATCCGAGAATTAATTAGAGAGAGTTGATAATAATAATGAAAATAATAATCTTTATTATTATTATTGTTGTTGTGGTTGCTGTTGTTTTCTTTTTAAAGAGATTGCAGAAGATTAAGCTACTGGCTGAAGAGAAGGAGTCTAGAAGAGTTAGAAAGATGGAGAGAAGAAAGCAAAGATTGTATGTTACTGTTGTTTATTATTATTATTATTATTATTATTATCATCATCATCATCATCATTATTATTATTATTATTGTTGTTATTAAGTTTCTAAATTAAGGCTACAAACATTCTGATCGTTTTTCATTCGTGATTTATTTGAAAAATTATGAACCGAACGAAAAGCTAGGAGTGAATGAGAAATTGTAACCAAAAAATTCTTACAGACAAAAGCTATGGGACGACAATGATTACAGATCTCAAAAGTTATCGGAGGATGAAGATGACGACGACGACGACGATGCTACTGAGGATGACGACGACGACGACACCTCGTCATTCATTCATTACGTAGTGGGTGACGTCACAGAACCAACCAATCAACATCGCCAAATTTATCGTGATAATCATAATACGCATAATAAAAATAATAATGTGGATAGTGGTGATGGTGACGATGAAACTTCAAAGAAAAAAACCCAAATTAAAAATAGAAACAAAGACCTGAGCATTGTGATACACTGTACAGGTGTCCTGTTGCGTTTATATGTCTATGTAAACAAATTTTTATATCTATGTATGAGTATATGTTTGTATCTATGTATGCATGCGATTAATTGTCAATGTAAACAATTTTTTCCATAGATAATTCAGGGCAATGGGGCAGGGGTGGAATATTTAGATGCATCAATTCACGGTCTTCGGTTCCACGGGAAAAATACAGAATGGCGTTTGAAATGAATGGTATTGTCTTTCTGTTTATTAATATTATTATTATTAATATTATTATTATTATTTTCATTGTTATTATTATTGCTATTATTACTTATTATCATTATAGTTATTGTTTGTTTTTTTGTTTGTTATTATTACTATTTTTCAGATTTAAACCTGGGAGACGTACATATGTTTCAAATGGAGGAAGATAACGATGATGAAGACGACGACGATGATGGGCATGATGTTAACCAGCCAACATCAACCAGATTTGAAACATTAGTATGTGTGCGTGTGTGATTATGTTTGTGTGTGTGTGTGCGTGCGTGCGTGTGTGTGTGTGTGTGTAAGTATGCTGGTGTGTACCTGTATTTGCGTCCGTGTGTGTATGTGTGTGTGTGTGCATGTGTAAAATTAAACCTTTTGGAATTCCCAGTTGGCTATTTTGGTTGTCCAATCACGCTCGAGGAACAATAGCGTGTCACCGATTAGTATGAAGCTTCTGGAGAGCGCGTTTGCTAAGTTATCTAAATATGCCAAGCAGCATAATGGTTGTTGTTGTTTGTTGTTGTTGTTTGTTGTTATTGTTGTGGATGATGATGATGTTGATGATGATGATGATGGCATCATCTCGATAATCATTTTTTATCATCATCTAATTCTTCGTCATCATCATAATCAAACTAAAGCATTGCGATCACCTCCATAATACTCAACACCCCCATCACAATCATCATCATCATCGCTAGTGTCGTCATCATCAGCATTTGTACTATCATCATCATCATCGTCGCCATCATCATTATCATAATTTACATCACAATCACCATCAACAACACAGCTTCAATCCATTGTCCCAGAATCGGCTGCCAACAACAACACCCCAACAAATCAACAAGTTATAATTATAATTATCATTATTATTAATGTTGTTATTATTATTATTATTATACATTGTACCTTTTAGAAAATACAATGGTATCATTGAATAATACCGCCATAGAAGACTGGTACCCGGTCGAAAGAATGATCAAGAAGTATTTCTCATCCAAAAAAATCCCTACATACATGTTCGATCTTTTGTTATTATTATTATTATTGTTGTTGTTGTTGTTTGTTTTTCTTCTTCTTCTTCTTTTTATTATTATTATTTTCTACAGTTACTATTATCCAAAGAACAAGATTCTAAATAAGAAGAGTTTAAAACTTGAAGAAAGAAAAATTATCGATGACGACGATGATGACGACATTAACAACAGCAACAACAACAACAATAATAATAATAATAAAAAGAGAAGAACATCTCAAGATTGCCGCACATCCCTGTGGTGCAATAAGCTGCCTAATTTTATGGACGGTGTAACTGTAAAGTTTTACCTAAGTAAGACAAACTGGGACTAATTTGAAATTTGAAAAATGTAATAAAATGATAAACAAAACGATGATAATGTTTATATTTAGAGGGCAGGAATGATAGACACCATCACACGAACGATGATCACATCAACAACAACAATAACGATGATGATCAGGATGGTGATGATGATGATGATGGTTATGGTTGCTACGAAAATGATGATTATGATCCTCATCTAAATTCCTTTATTAAGGAGTTAACAAGACACATTATTGCGTTAGTAAGCACATACACACTCATACACACACATACTTTCTCTCACACACAAACACACACAAACACACACACACAGTTATGGGGGCAATGTAATTAAAGCGGATGATGATGACGACATGAATAACATTGAAATGACGTCAAGGGCAGCCACCCATGTAATTACGTCTGCAAAGAATAATAAGGAGAATGATGATATTCTGAAAAAATTAAAAGTTTTTGGAGCTTTTTATTATAAATAATTTTTCTTAATTTCATTTTTGTGTATAGTATATCAGGGGTGGGCAAACTTTTTGTTGTGAGGGCCGCATTGAGAGCTATTTTACCTTTGAAGGGCCGCATGTGTACTTAAATAGCAAATTTTTTGACCCGGGGGAAATTTTTTTGAGATTTGTAGTTTTTTTTTGTCATAATGCCTGGCTGCCGGCTGTAGTTTGCCCGCCTCTGTAGTATATTATCACTAATAAAACTTCTATTAGAATGTATTTTTAAAGGTTAAACTATTTTTTATCAAGAAATATGATTGAATTATAATAGTATATCTCATACATACGCTCTTGCTATTTCTTTCTTTTTTTCTCTTTATATATAAATAGTTATTATTTATATATTTCTAAGCATATTTTTTATGATTATTTATAATTATTATTTATTATTACACATATAATAAAATTTTTTCCTTCAAGCAATCAAAGGTCAACATCGTGGATCTGGCATGGTTAATTGACTCAATAAAACGTCAAAAACTAATGGAAACTGATAATTATTAATTAAATAAATGATAATTTGTTAATTACTGATTAATTCATTTATTTATCTTATTTAATTTTTTTATTTTATTTGGTTAGAAACGTTTACGAAATCGTCGTAACTAAATGAGTCGCAATTTTCAATGCGTGTTTAAGTCAGTAGTGTGAACAATTTTGAATTAGAAAAATAACATTTTCGAAAAGAAAATCGTCGGTTTGTCGTATTTTACCGTTAAAATATAAAAATTGTAAAAAGTAAAGTTTATACATAGATAAAAAATTTTTTGCTTTGTGTTGTTGTTTATTTTATTCTTTTCCGGCCTTTCCTTTTGAGATCTGGTTGTGTTTCAGGTGCTTTTTTTATCGTTTTTGATCGGTGGTTAAATAAGTTTCTTTTAATAGAATTTTTATAAATTATTGTTTAATATTAAATATATCTGATGATATTATTGCCTAGTTTTTTTTAGAATTTATTTTAATATGATTTTTCTATAATCTTTTCAGATATAATATTACGGTAATTTAACGAACTCTATACCAAATGGCGGACGCTGCACCAGCCGGTGGTAGAGGAGGATTCCGTGGAGGATTTGGTGGTGGTGAAAGAGGCCGCGGTAGAGGACGTGGACGTGGCCGCGGTAGAGGAGGTAGAGGCGGCCCGAGAGGTGCTCGTGGTGGGGCCAAAGAAGGTGACAAAGAATGGGTACCTGTCACTAAGTTGGGTCGTTTAGTCAAAGAAATGAAAATCAAAACGATTGAAGAAATTTATCTTTTCTCTCTTCCAATCAAGGTTTTTCCTGCTGGCAAATTTCATTTAATTTAAATTAAAATTTTCATGTTTCCTTATCTTATAACTTTCTTCAAATATTAGTATCTCAACGAATAAATATTTTGCAATGATTTTATTTTCTATACTGAATTGGCAAATAAATGAATCTCAAATTTGCCCAACAGGAGTTTGAAATCATTGATTTCTTCTTGGGAAGCAGTTTGAAAGATGAAGTATTGAAAATCATGCCAGTGCAAAAACAGACAAGAGCAGGTCAAAGAACTAGGTTCAAGGCATTCGTTGCCATCGGAGATTTCAATGGACACGTTGGTTTGGGGGTGAAATGCTCAAAAGAGGTTGCCACTGCAATCAGAGGAGCTATCATCCTGGCCAAGTTGTCGATCGTTCCAGTCAGGAGAGGTTACTGGGGTAACAAAATTGGTAAACCCCACACCGTGCCATGCAAAGTAACTGGTAGTTGTGGTAGTGTTGAGGTGAGGTTGATTCCAGCCCCAAGAGGAACAGGTATCGTCGGTGCCCCTGTCCCCAAAAAGTTGTTGCATATGGCTGGTATTGACGACTGCTACACTTCTGCTAATGGTCAAACTGCTACTCTTGGCAACTTTGGTTAGTTTTCCTTGTGACCTATTTATTTTTTTTAAACTAAATAAATTTTTCTCTTTTTTATTATACTGAAATAATAAACTTGAGCAAAAATTTGTAGATATGAAAGTTAATAAATAATTTTTCCTCCCAGCCATGGCGACGTATGAAGCCATTGCAAACACATACGCCTACCTGACACCTGATTTGTGGAAGGAGACAGTGTTTGTGAAGTCTCCATACCAGGAGCACACTGATTTCCTCATGAAGTACCCTGCTATGGAGAGAAGAACCGGTGAAGTTAAACAGTATTGAAGAGCTAGAGTTGGACTGACGGGCTGACTTCAAGCAGTCAATCGGTTGATCGGTTGACAGATGAAGATGAATTGATAGTAATTAACTAAATGATTGATTGGTTGACGGATGGATTGATAGTAATTGACTGAATGATTGGTTGGTTTTGTAATAAAGCCATCATATGTCATAGATGATATGCATGTGTCAGCTTAATAAAAAAATTTATAAGTTTGTATGTGTCGATTTTTGGTCAGATTACTTTGTCGTTGAATATTATGCAAACGAATTATGTAACTAGTGGAAAAAGATTTTATTGAAATAGTAAAAAAATATGAAAAATTTAAACGTTTAAAATTTTTAAAGTAACGAGAAGAAAAATCTCGATTCACAATGTTTTGATTCAAGTACATAAACGATCAAAAAATTTCAAAATACGTCAACACGCAACTGTACGAACCGTCGACTTTTCAAAAATGTGTATTCAAAGGTAAAACGAAATTTTGAAGAAATGATTTGAAGATAGAAAAAATAGAAAAATACATGGTTTTCTAGAAAATTTGGAAAATTTTTTTTGAAAAATTTAAGGGAAAAATTTGTCGCGATCAGTCAGTGTAATAGCATTAGAGTTGATGAAATGTTCCTTTTGTTCATGAGTTTGATTCTGAAATCGCTCTGTCTGCCGTGTTTTCTTGGCTTTCTCTGTTGGTGATATGAAAAATATAGATTGTAATTAAAGTATTATTATGAATAATAATTATTTCCATAATAATTATGGATAATTAATATAACAATTTTGAATTTTTGTTAATTATGGTATTATATCATTTATGATGCAATAATGAATGTGGTTGATAGTTTTGTGCCTAAATAAGATTAAAAAGCTCTACTTGTTTAGCTACAGTCGATAATTTTTGTGAATAATAAATACAAATAAATTGTTTTGATTTTTGTGGTGTTGTGTATGTGTATTCGTATGTCTGTGTGTGTTCCTACTTGTCTGTCTGTGTGTGTGTGTGTGTGTGTGTGTGTGTGTGTGTGTGTTTAGCAAAATAAAGATTGAATTACTATCTGAAGCTTAAGCAAGAAGACAGTAAGAGGAACATAACCAATAAAGAATGAATAAAATTATAATCATAATAATATAATGGTAATAAAATTATAGATGATAATTTAGATGAAATGTTAACAGAATAAAAACAGAAAGAAATAGTTTATTTTAAGTTTTAATGGCTCTGCTCTAACAATTATTACCATCCAAACCACAACGGATCACGATGAAAAAACGTAAGAATAGAATAAAATAAATACGAAATAAAATATAATATAATACTTAGTACTATAATATAGATAAAAATGAAATATGAAATTAACCATAATAATACTAATATAATAATAATGATAATAATAATTACTGTTATTCAAACCATATAGCGAGTTAGGGCATCAATCAAAAAGCTGTCGTGCAAAACAAAAAACATCATCATCATCATGGTTATCATCATCATCATCATCACCGTCGTGGTTATCATCATTATCATCATTTTTAACACCATCATCGTCGTCGTCATCTTTACTTTTATCATCGTCGTCGTCATCATAATCATTTTTATGATCCTCTTAAATTATTTTAATAGTGATATTAAAGGAGAATACTACTACTACTGCTACTACTACTACTACTACTGCTGCTGCTGCTATTAATATTAACAATAATAATAAAAATAATATCAACTCTTCAGCTAATTCGAAATATTGATTTGTCAAAAGTTAATAAATACGTTTATTTAAAGCTTTGGAATCAGAAAAAATGATTTTTTTCATTGTATAATAATATATAATTATATAACAATATATATGTATATATTATAAATATATATATATAGTTGTGTGTATGTTTGTGTGTGTGCGCGCGTGTGTGCGCGCGTGTGGTTGCAATACAGTTTAGCAATCGTAAGGAAATAATAAATATTTAATTTGTGCAGTTAGAAATAAAATGCTTGTTATATAATTCGTAAATTATTATATAAATATATATATATGTGTGTGTGTGTGTGTGTGTATGTGTGTGCGTGTGTACGTGCGTGTGTATACATATATACAATTCATGTAAGCACATAAGGAACCAAAAAAAAGCTTTAAGGATTGGAACCAAAAAAAAGCATAAGCAGAGACGGAAAAAGATTACGTTCAACATTGAAATTGCTCTAATTATTATTTGATATGATCAAAATTGTTATTATTAGTAGTAGTAGTATTATTATTATTATAATAATTACTATTAATAAATTTATTGTTTTTATTTTTATTAAGTTTGAAATAAAAAATCTTTTCTATGAAACTACTTCCCTATAATGAAAAGTCTAAATTTTAATCCCGCCAAAATCTATCAGACAACCAAAGTGTTTGTTATTATTATTTAAACTATATAATTATTAATTATATTATTGCTATTATTATTTATACTATTATTATTAATTATATTATTGTTATTATTATTGTTTAATAATCTTTTTTATTATAATTTTTATTATTCAAACCATTGCCAGTAAGCAAAAGACCAAGATTCCCTTATGAATGTAGACGAAGAAGATAATGACGATGATGATGACGATGATGATGATGATGACGATGATGATGATAACGATGATAACAAAGTTATACATATTTTTGTGTATGTTCGGTTGTACTATACTGATAATCATAAAAATTTATAGCCCATATATCGAAACATACATACATGCTGACAGACGGACCGATTACATACAAGCATACATGCACACATACATACAGGCATACATACACACATACATACATTTATACATACACACACATACTGCGACTGTAAAAGCATACGACCAGAAAATTTCTAAGTATATGCTACTCTCAATGACTCTAAAATCATTCAACCATACATACATACATAACACACACACACACATACATACATAACTTGTTATGTATGTATTTGACATAACAAGCATACATCCATGCATACATATATAGCACAAACAAACATACACACACACATAAATACGTATACACACACAATACTCACTTAACATCATCATTTGTCATCATTTTGTGGACTTTACTGGATACGTTTTGTTTGTTCATCATCATTCGCTGATAATGATTTCTGCATTGATGATGATGATCATAATGATGATGATGATTATGTCGATAACATTCAAAAACCTCAGCCAACCAACCTACCGACCAATTAGAACCGACCAATCAACCAACAAGCCAATCGCGATCGACCATTAAATCAACCAGCCAACCAATCACCAACGACCCCATTCAATCAACAAATCAACCATCACACAAACCAAAAGAACGAACGAACCAAACGAACGAACAAACCAAACGAACGAACCAAACGAACGAACCAAACGAACGAACCGAAATCTCTGCTGAATGATGACGACGGCATGTTTACTCTTCATGTATCGCTCATGTTGTTTGTAGGCCCGATACTTGCTCTGGATTATCGTAGCTGCCTCGCGACTTCGTTTAAATTTCTTCTGGGCGTAGTAGCTTCTGAACTGACTCTGTATCAGCACCGCGGCTTGAGTCATACGTTTGTGGAACATAAACTGTGTTGATGCCCGTGTATGTGTAAGTGTATGTGTGTGTGTGTGAGAGAAAGAGAGAGAGAGAGAGAGAGAGAGAGAGAGAGAGAGAGAGAGAGAGTGAGAGAGAGAGAGGGTGAGAGAGAAAGAGGGTGAAAGAGAGAGAGGGTGAGAGAAAGAGTTTGTACGGAATGTACTACCTGTTTATACCTACGGAAACAGTTTTGTATCAGTATGGCGGCATTGATTTCCTCCTGCCTTTGTTTCAATTGGTGTGTCTGCGTACCTGTGTGTGGGTGCGTGTGTGTATGTGTGTGTGTGAATGTATGTAAGTGTACTTTTGTTGTTTGTGTGTTTAAATGGATAAACACTCCGAGTTTTTTTTACTAAAAATCCCACTGACAAACCTTTATACTTTCTGTAACAATCCTGGACTATCTTAGCAGCCTCGTACAGTTTCTTCTGTTCATCATCAGAGAGAGTTAGCAGAGAGAAATCTTTTTCCATATAGGTGGCAGGTGCGTTAAAAAATTCCGAAAATTCCGTGGTTGTTGGAGACGAGTCGCTCGTGTAGCTACCGCAGTTACTACCGCCGCCACCTCCGTACGGGCTGGTCAAACAGACGGAAGATGAGGGACTCATGGTTGATGTTGACGCTGGCGTGTTAACAACGTCCTGATATCTAATGTATTGTTTTGGCGTCTAGAGGTATTTAGGGGTATCAACAACAGGGACAACACTTATTATGCGTGCATTCAATCCCGGGTCAGTCGACTCAGCACAAGTTTAGGCGCTCATATACACTTCCACACACACAGAGTAAATAAAATGATTAATATTATGATAATAAAATGAAAATAAAATAAATGATTGGAAATTATTGAAATTTTAAAAGTTGTATCTGAATCAAAATTTTTAAACCTGTAATCGGAGAACATGGAGACGCCATCCATGGGTGTGCACACTCCAGAATCATCATCAAGACTGCCGAAATTATTATTATTATTATTTATTGTCGATGTAGCGTTGTTGTTGATGTTGTTGTTGTTGTTGATAATGTTGTTGTTGTTGTTGTTGTTGTTGATAATGTTGTTGTTGTTGTTGATGTTGTTGTTGGATGCGAAATAGTTGGATAATGAACTGTTGCAAGAGGCATTTGAATCGTGAGAGCTAGCCCTGGTTTGTGTCCGGCTAATGTTGTTGATGATGGTGTTGTTGACGTTGTTGTTTGTGTAGTAAAAGTTGCTGTTATGGTAATTGAAATTATCTAACTGTTGTGTAAATGATGGCTGTTGTTGTTCGAAAGCCAGTTGTTGTTGTTGTTGTATAAATTGTTGTTGTGGATATTGTTGCTGCTGAAGCTGTTGTAGTTGAAGCTGTTGCTGTTGTTGTTGGTAATGTTGCTGAATTTGCTGCTGCGATAAATGTTGATGCGATTGTTGTTGTTGCTGTAACTGGTGCAAATGTTGGAACTGATGTCGTAGATGCAATTGTTGTTGATGTTGTTGTAATTGCCGCTGCTGCGAATGTTGTTGTTGTTGCTGCTGCTGCTGCTGTTGCTGTAACAGCTGTTGAAACTGCTGATGATGCAGCTGCTGAAGGTAAAGCAATGTTGTTGTTGGTTTTGTATCGTGTTGCTGTTGCTGCTGTTTATCATTCGTTATTGATGTTGTTGATGTTGTTGTTGTTGTTGATTTTGTTGTTGGTGTTGTCTTGTTTCTCTCAGGAATGGCGACGATGAATTGGTTGGCCAGCGTAAGCATTTGCGAAACTGGCATCTTCATTTCCGTAGTATCTTCATAATTTTTACAATTAATTATAATTCAGCGACTATAATATAAAAATAATTATCATAATTAATAATAATAACAATAATAGTAGTAGTAGTAGTAGTAGTAGTAGTAGTAGTAGGGAGGTACCGAATAGTTGATGCGGTCGAGGGCGATAACGAAAAAACACCAAACTCTGAATAAAACTTTCATTTGAAAATTATACAATTCTACCAACATCTTCATCGAGGTTAAAAAGGTTAAAGGTCAATTACACCCTTCCAAAGTTCAAAGGATTCAACAACACGCCACAAACATCTTATATGAATACGTGCTAAACGACGCAGCCCACATGAGGCATGTGATAGGCGGGGATCCTTTTGTCACATTCGAACCCGGTTACTGCGAGACAGTACAAGGCGACCTTAACCACTAGGCTATCACGCCGCCCGAGGTAACATTCAACTCCTTGTTCAAAATTATGGGTTTCAAATTTTAAGAGTGGCGGCTTAAAGGAAAATTGCTTACATAAAAGCAAATTTTTATCATTGTACAATTTTCCTTGTATATTGAATTTCAACAATACAAACCGATAGGACATAGATCATTTAGTTCCTTATCTGGAATGAATGAATGAGTGAATGAATGAATGAGTGGAATGAATGAGTGAGTGAGTGAGTGAGTGAGTGAGTGAGCGAATGAGTTAATGAATGAATGAGGAAATGAATGAATGAACGAACGAACGAACGAATGAATTAATGAATGAGCGAATGAATGAATAAAGACGAAAAATTTACAAAATTAAAAATAACCTATTTCCATCTCGTTGATCACCAGCCTGTCATCATCATCATCCTCATCATCAATAATAATATTATTATTATTATTATTAGCACAATCATCATCGTCGTCATCGTCATCGTCATCGTCAAAGTTATGCAATCTTTTCAGGTATGAATTGATAACATCATCATCATTATCACTACATAAGACATTATTATTATCATTGTTGTTGTTATCGTTATTATTATTATTATTATTATTATTATCATTATTATTGTTTTTATTTTTATTATTATTACTATTTTCATTGTATTTCTGTAGCGCTGTCTTATTTGAAAGATCCGTCTCGGAGTTTGCGTTTCTTTTAAATGTTAAAATAGGATTATTATTATTGTTGTTGTTGTTGTTATTATTATTATTCGCGGCGTTGCCTTTCCTGCCAACTTCACTCATCAACAGAACGTCAACACTGGTCCTTTTAATCATTCGAGACGACGACGACGACGCTACAGCAGCTGCTGCAGCTGCTGTTGATGATGACGACGGTAGCAATGATGCTACCGCCGGTGTGGCCGTTGTGGCTATTAGCCGTGCAGTTAGCTGGTTGAGGAAAAACGCCTGGGAAAGAAAACAAAGTGGGAAATAAAGTACATTAATGGATAAAAATGTCTGTCTCTCTCCCACTTTCTCTCTCTCTCTTTTTCTCTCTCTCTCTCTTTCTTATTCTATCTCTCTTTCTTCTTTCTCTCTATTCCTCCCAACGTCATAACCATCAACATATCTAATCGACCACACCCATCATCATCATCATCATCACCATCTCATCATCACCATCATCATCAATAATACCTTTCCATTGGTGTGGCCGAATAACATCGGCGCTCTTTGACCTCTGAGTGACCTCAAAAAGGGCAATCCGGGGTCATCGTCTGTCGGCCATTTGGTTTTTTCGTCGAATGGCTGCGTTTTTATGCTGTTAATAATTATTATCATTGATGTTATTATTATTATTATCATTATTATTATTACTGTTGTTTTTGTGGCAATAACATAGTAGTTAATGTTGAAAGATGAAAAAAACAAAAAACAATATCTAACAATGGATGCAATCTTGTTGATGTTGTTGTTGTTGTTGCTGATGTTGTTGCTGATGTTGTTGTTGTTGTTGCAGTTGTTGTTGATGTCATTACTTTCGCCGTTGTTGTTGTTGGCGATGATGACGTTGTCCTTGTTGATGGTGCAAGTGAATTTTCAATACGTAAATTCATCGGAGGATTAATATTTCTAATATTCATAACACTATTTATATTAATAATATTATTATTCTTATTATTATCATTCATATTATTGTTCATATTATTATTATTATTATCACCAATATCACCATCATTAATTCGGATACCACATTCCCCGCCACCCAAACCACTGTAATTATAACCACAATTACCGCAGTTATAACCATAACTACCAAAATTATGACCATAATTACCAAAATTATGACCACAATTACCAAAATTATGACCAAAATTACCAAAATTATGGTCACAATTAGCAAAATTATGACCATAATTATTAACATCAAAGAAATCATGGCCGATCTGCTGTACGAAGTGAACTGGCTGGAGGCCGAAGTTGTTGGGAACTGCCATGAGTTTGTTACCGTTGTTGTAGGCGAAGAGTTGGTGGAATGTCTGGAGATTGCCGCGGGCACACGCCCACATCTTTGAAAAATATAATAATATTAATAAATAATAATAATAATAAATAATAATAATAATAAATAATAATAATAATAATGATAACGTACAATGGGAGTGTTTCCGTGTCTATCCTTAGACAGAGGATCGACCTCCTTCAAAAGTGACGTCATCGTCGGCGATGATGATGATGATGTCGATAGTAATGATCTTGCGAGAAAAAGATTGTAAAAATTGAATAAAGAAATCTTTTTGACTCATAAAAGTTTAGCGAAAATGAAATTGTCAACATCATCGTCATAAACGTCATCATCATCGTCGTCGTTGTCGTCGTCATCATCAACAACACCTTATGTGAATTAGGAAGGAGAGGATTTGGGGATTTCCCAGAGCGGCGGCCAGGTGCAGCAAGGTCAAATCAAGGTCATTTGAGTGATGGCTAGTTTCAATGTCAAGGTCGCAATTTACGAAATATTTTTTAGCCAGCAGTGATGGTAACGAGCTTAAAATTTCTCGAACGCTGCTATTATTATTGTTGTTGTTGTCTTCATGTTTTATCTGCCGAATGAATGTATTGATTGACTGACTAGCTGAATGACTGAATGAATAAATGAATGAATAATGAATTAAGAAAGAAAGAAATCAGAAAATAAACAAGTAGATGAATGAACGAATGAATGATCGAAACTACAAATTAAAGAAAAATGTTAAAGAGCAGGTAAAAGTTAATGAATGAATGAATGAATGAATGAATGAATGAATGAATTTACATTTTTGTCCGAGTTAGCTCTCAAAACATGCAGTTTCTGTATGAAGAGCTGTACCAATTTTTTATCTGTTTAATAATTTTGATTCATAATTTACAAACATTATTATTATTAATATTATTTTTATTATTATTATTATTATTACTCCTACTTCAGAAAAACCTATGGTGTTGAGTACAACATTGTTTTACTCAGAGACAAGGCGTGGAGAATGAGACTAAAACTTCGCAATTACTTTAAAACAAGCCGAAGTGGAAAGATTCGCTGCTGTCTTCGGCGCGAAACGTCAATAGACTACAAACTGGTGGATGACTTGCTCTCAGATGCAGATACAACAACTCAGTCGTTAAAGCAGGTAACTGCTAGCTGGAATCATGTGGTTTCGCTTCTGAGTCAGGGTTTCTTGGTTAAATCGGTGACAGAGGTAATATCATCATCTCAAATATCCCATTGGTCTAAACAATTTGATACAATCTCAGAAACTCTTTACAAATTCGCTAGAAAATATATTACTCAGCAATCGCCAACCAACGCCAATCTGTTCAGACGGGGAAAGACACAAGATTCTCTATGTCCTCTACAAACATGTTGTGTCCAACTGTGGATCGATTGCTACACTGGCAAGATATACAGAACGTCATAATAAAATTCTATCTGAGATCGATAATTGGTTAAAGACATGTTGTCAGGAGGACTGCCTGATAAAAACTATGAATTTATGGATTACTTTTTTGAATGTTGGGGATTCTGCTTAGTTAAGATTTACTCTTTTGGAATGCCCCATTATGTAACAAATTTATTGTTTGTTCATAATAAACGAATATTATATTCGCAGATATCGAGTCAGAGGAAGTTCAACCAATCTGGCAGCAACTGTTCATCTCCATCCGTTCCAGACGTCGCCATTTTGCGCAACCTCAAAATTGAAATTAACAAATGAAATGAATCTAACCACATGAAACTAATCTGCTACAATCAAGAAACTACAAACTACCGAAATAGGAAAATAGTTTGAATTCATGTCTGAATGCTGACTTTAAGAACTGTTTAATTTTTCAAAAAACATTTGAAATAACTCCGATTGGCTTTTTCAATATTTTAAATTTGACTCTAAAAATTCATGGCCGATTACATATATTAACAAATTAATAGAATCTGTAATTAGATCGGACCTATGCCATTTATTGCGATAGGAACACTTCCTAACCAATTTGAATACATAACCGTTTTGCACTTGCCCTATATAATGAGCATTGTGGTTTCATTGAACATTATTACATTTTTATTTTCTTTTTTAATTTTAACAACTTTGACTGAAATAAAAGAGTTTCCATTAATATATATAAAATTGATGCATTTGTATAGCGCCAATTTCTTAGAGCGCTATGATAAATTAAAATTAAAAAATTTATCAATTTTGTATCAATCTTCTCTTTCATCAGGTACTAGATAGCTCAACATCACTTGGATTGCTACTGCTGTTGCAGCTGCTGCAGAACTTCCACTGCGGACAAACTCCAGCCAGGATGCTTCATTGACGATCACAAGAGGTAAATTTGCAAGCAACACAAAGAGGAAACGAGGTAGATATAGATGATAATACATAGCATATATACCTTCTATGTTAAAATAAGATGTCGATACTGTTGCTACGGCTGCTGCTGCTGCTGCTGCTGCTGCTGTTGATGATGACCGCAATGATGACGATGATGATAGTAGTGCTGCTGATGGTGATGATGGTGGTGGCGGCAATGGTTTATAAAGGAACGAAAGAGGGTTGGTGTTGCGGCTGATGATGTTGTTGCATCGACACTGAACTGTTAACTCTACCCTACCTGCTGAATGAGCTGTGATGATGATGTTGGATGATGATGATGATGATGTTGTTGGACGATGATGATGATGATGATGATGTTGTTGTTGTTGATGATGATGACGATGATGACGACGACGACGATGATGACGTTGATGATGATGATAAAGATGACCGGGGCGTTGATGACGATACAAACGATGATGATTTTCAAAATGATGATTTCAATCGTTCTGACAAAAATTGATGAAATGATAATCACCATCATCAGCACCACCATCATCATCTTCTTCATCATCATCATCATCCAACCTGGGGCGTAGCATTTCAAGACATTGGGTAAAATTAGAGTTGCAGGAACACACAAGTTACCAAATAAAACAAAAAAACTTTTGTTGTTGGTGTTGGCGTTGTTAATGCTGTTGTTGTTGTCGTTAATGTTGTTTTTGTTGTTGTTGATGTTGTTGATGTTGTTGTTGATGTTGTTGATGTCATTTTCGAAAATTCCCGTGATAAGAATCTTTGTGCCTCCCTTTTCGAGTTAACGTCATCAATGTCATTAACAACGACATCAACAACAACAAAAACAACATCAATGATAACAACAACAACTACAACAACCACAACACAAACTTCGGCATAAGACCATTCTGGAGAAAACTCAATGATTGAAAAACTTGTCAATGTATCTGTTGATGTTGTTGTGGATGTCGTTGTTGTTGTTGTTGTTGATGCTATTGTTGTTGTTGTTGTTGTTGTTGAAACAAAAAGATTATCACCATCAACGTCATCAATGTTTCGAAACACGATGTTAAGAATTTCGTCTAAATCGTCCATAGAATTTGATGTGATGTTGTTGTTATTGCTGATGATGTCATTGTTGTTGCTGTCGATGACGTCATCACTGTTGTCGGTGTTCTTAACGCCATCAATGTTGTTGTTGCAGAAAATGCTGTTGTCGTTGTAATTGTCGCAATTATAACTGTCGCAAGAATAGTTGATGTCATCCAGACCAAGGAAATTAAATTGTTGTTGTTGTGCTTGATGTTGTTGTTGTTGATGTTGTTGTTGATGTTGTTGTTGATGTTTTTGTTGATGTTGTTGATGAAGTTGTTGTTGATGTTGTTGTTGTTCGAGATCAAAGTTTTGTGAAAGACTATCACTATCATAGTCTAGTAGATCGAAATCTGTTAAGAGATCACACTGGTTGAAATAATTGTTGACATCAAAAAGTTGGTCATATTGTTGTTGTTGATGTTGTTGTAGGTGTTGTTGTTGATGTTGTTGCTGTTGCTGCTGATGTAGATTGTTTAGAAATTCACTTGTTTGTTCATAACTTAATGATTGAAAATTTTGGTTTAGTTGTTGTTGTGTTTCAAACATTTGGGGTTGTGATTGTGGAATCAATGTGTTAGAATGTTTCTGCTGCTGCTGTTGTTGTTGATGTTGTTGTTGATGTTGTTGCCGTTGAAATGAATCTAAACTTAATTGCCTATGTTGTTGAACTTGTTCCAATGTTACAATATCATTGAAAGGTAAGGTGGACGTTGTTGTTGTTGTTGCTGCTGTTGTTGTTGTTGTTGTTGGATGCAAATTTACATCCCCGTATAATAAAAACGATTTATACGCGTCAGATAATGACGATGACGTCATTGCTGATGGTTTTGTTGTTGATGTTGTCTGACATTGATTATTGTTATCGTTATTACTATTATTGTTATCATTATTAATGTTATTGTTGTTGCTGTTGTTGTTGCTGTTGTTGTTGCAGTTGCAGATGAGTTGTTGTTGTTGTTGATAATGTTGGTTTTGAGTGGTTTTTAATTTGTTTACAATCAACTCAACAATCTGGTCCGTCTGAGGGTTTTTAGGTTAACGAAAATAAGCGTAAATTAGCATACATTAGCAAATAAAATGCATAAAATTAACATATATTAGCGTAAATTTGCATGAATTAACATTATATATAAGGTAGATAGAGAAAAATTGAAATATAAGTTAGCAATTCATATGTAAGTTGACACATTCTGCGGTAAATCGGCAGTCAGTTTACATGCACAGCGTTTGTAATGTAACAACAACAACAATAATGATGATAATAATATTAATAATAATAATAATGGACATAATAATAATATAGCCAAAATGATTGATCACTATTATAACCTTCTGATTGGAAGAATGGTTGCATGGGAAATGTTTTAAACTGGCCACTGAAAGAGATGTAAGAAAACACCATCATCATCATCGTCGTAGTCGTCGTCATCATCATCATCGTCGTCATCATCATTACCATCATCATCGTCGTCATCATCATCATCATTATCGTCGCCATCGTCATAGTCGTCGTCGTCATCACTATCATCAGCAGGTGAAAACATTAGCTCGGTGCAAAACAATATATACGGCGCTAATAACTTAATTAACAATTTTTGTACCTCCCCAAAAAGACAAGAAAATAACAACTTCTCACAAATAAACAGCAACAAAAACAACGACAACAACAACTACAACAACAACAACAAAAACAACAACGACAACAAAAACAACAACAACGACAACAACAACAACAAACCCATAGGCCTAATTTGAGACTCAAGCTCACTTCTAGACCACTTATTGCAATCATCAAGAGGCAGTGGGAAGCAGCAGAACTTATAAATGTTATTAATGTCGCTGATGTTGTTGTTGTTGTTGTTACTGCTGTTGCTGTTGTTCTGCATTGGAAGGTTCAAATAGTGGACCAGCACTATATTCGGGTTCTGTAAATGGTAACAATGATGATGAATGATACAACAACAATAACAACAAGCAACAACCATAACAGCAGCTACAAGCAAGCAGCAGTAGCAGCAGCAGCAACACAAACCTGCAACAGCCAGTAACATCTCCTATGAAAAGTCGGCAAAATGGCGGAGTGAACGTAGCATCCGTAGATGAACTCTTGACCTTGAACTTTCAACTTCATGTGATCTTCGCGGGTGGTCTTTCCGTCTTTTCGCTTCTTCCAATGGTAGCCATCCTTGCGATAGTGCACGGACTTGCGATTGTAAAGTAGCATCGTCCCTGATGGCGGTCTGCCAGGGTTTGTTCGCTTGTGTGAGTGTGCATATGTGTGTGCGAGCGTTTGTCTGTATGTGTATTGGTGTTTTAGCGAGAGAGGATTTGTGTGTGTGTGTGTGTGTGTGTGTGTACGTGCGTGAGTGCTTTTATTTATGTTTCTAAGTGTGCGTGTGTCTGCAATTGTTGTCTCCATAAACACAGGCGCGTGCACCTATGCATGTTTTTGTTTAGTCTGTGGTTTATGTGTGAACACTTGTTTATATATATATATGTGTGTGTGTGTGTGTGTGTGTGTGTGTGTGTGTGTGTGTGTGTGTGTGTGTGTGTGTGTGTGTGTGTGTGTGTGTGTGTGTGTGTCTATAAATCTATTACCATGTATTTGATTTGAAATTTTTGGTTTTAAAACGAGTTGATAGAAAAAAGGTTTCACGAAGCAATAAATTAAAAAAATGCTATTTTAATGTATGTGTGTAGCTAAGTAAATGTATGTGTGTCTTTGTTCACAATTGTCTTTGTTCACAACTGTACGTAAATACATGTGCGTGCGTGCGTGTGTGTGTGTATGTATGTGTGTTTGCGTGCGTGTGTGTGTGTGTGTGTGTTTGTGTGGTTGCGTGCGTGTGTGTGCAATTGGGTGACAAATTAAATAGAGACACAGATGTATTTAACTGCCTACCTTATTGATATTGTCTTGGAGAGCCATTCATCATGCCTATCAAATGCTACTAATATTGACACAACTTCCTGAGTTATGTTATAATATATTCATATTATATTATATTATATTATATTATATTATATTATATTATATTATATTGTATTATATTGTATTATATTATATCATATTATATTATATATTATATTAACGTCATAATAATAATATAACACCTATTATAACAACACTACAACAATAATGATAAAATGACATCAATAAAATTCAATATTAATTAGATTATAAATATAATTATTATTATTAATTATAGCTATAATTTTTTCTAATTAATTGTTGAAATAAAATAATTTGCCTCATTAGTATTCCATCTATGCCTCTCATTGACAAACTCCTGGGCTTTCACGATCGAATCCAAAGATTTTAACAAATCTTTTCTAGATGTTTCTGAATCCATTTTGTAATTTTTTTAAACTTCTCAGGTCTTTAGTTTCCCATGAAAGAAAATAAACAGCAATCAAATAAATATATGATATAATTCATTGACTTAGTTTTGGATTAATTTATTATTATAAATGTGGTTTGCTTACATGATAGCTATATAATTATATATATATTTTTATTTTATATTTATAGATAGAGTTAGGCCAAAGAAAGACTAATATATCCTGGACTTACATGCCAATTGTTTTTCTTTTAATACTAGTATTATTATATTATAATAAAGATTTTATTTAATCAAAATTAACAAAAATATCAGACAAAAGTCAGATTTTTTACCGGTTGAAAAAATAAATGACTTTTGTTATTTTATTCAAAAATTAATTGAGTTAGACAGGGCTTAACCAGTGGGTCAGTTTTTAAATTTCATCAGTGACTTTTCAAATTATTAATATTTTATTGTACAAATTCAACTATCACCAAAATAAATATTGAATAATAACAATACCTGGTGACCAAATTTTGATGAAAGAAATAAGGTTTACTTCCAAAGCAAAAAAAATTTATAAAATTTTTGATAAAAGAAAAGATTGAAAACTTATTCCATTACTAATCATTGTACATTAACTTAATTAAAAAACAACTACGACTTTAATTTGCCTTTTCTACAATAATTAAATATTTAATTAAAAAAATAATTGAAATATTTTGAAGAACGTTTATTTTATGTCAAATTGAATCTGATATTCAATTGTTATGCATGCAAAGCAAATGCATGCATGAAATTTTTTCAAATGCAAAATACATGTACATAAGTATATAATTATATTTGTAAAACCATATATATTATAAAAAATATATAATTATATACATGATTTATAAAAAGCTTTAATTTGACATTAATAATAATTAAGCGGCTTAAACCATAATTAATGTTTTGGTGCTACTTAAATTCAAGATATAATTTCCAAACATTTTAATTTAAATGCCATGGTAAATCTAACTCTAATTATTGTACGAATTATGATTAATTTTTATTAAGCTCATTTCAATTTTTATTGTAAAGAATGAAAATTAAAAAAATTTTTACTGTAAAAACTTATGTATAATATTGTTAAAGTACTGCTAAACATTTAAATACACTTAAATGTAAAACGGTGTATTTTATGTTCTATGGTCAATAATTATCTGTACTATGCTCTGTTTTGGTTGATATTTCATTAAAAAGTTGAATTTTAAATTTGATTTTCGTTTAAAATTGTTCTTAAAACTTTCCAAATGTCGTCGAAGGTGCCGATCATGTCGACGGCCGGTGCTGTTCCGACGAAAAATGAAAAAGGCAATTTTAGCTTATAACTTTCCCGTTAACGTTAACTTCAAACAACTCAATAGTAAAATAGTCAAATTTAAAATCAAAATGTTTCACTTTACTTTACTTAAACTTTAAGTCTTAAAGTTAAATTATTAATTAATTAATTAATGTAATTGGAAAAATTGTTTTTCAGGTGAGCTTACGATGGAAAAAGTCAAAGTTTCAAGATACGTTACTGGAAAAAGGTTAAAAATTTGTTATATTTATAATGTTGTTAATTAGCAATTTAGAACCAGATTTTTGAAATTTAATAATTAATTTAATAATATATATATATATAATGATTAAATTAAAATTAACTAACGAAATAAAATAAAAATTATAAATGACAAATCATATATACAACTCAATTAAATTATTAAAAAAATGGCATGAAAAACTCTAGGCCAGAATATGCCCCAGACTCTAGCGATGAAGAGGACGTGAATTTGAATTTACTAAAGATAAAAAATGCAAATGATGACAATGATGAAGATGACGACGACAACGAGTACAACAACTACAACAATAGACTAACCGATGAGGAGAATGTCGGCTCCCAGAACTACAAAGGCGACAAACGACTGCAAAGATTAATGAACCTCAACAGACATCGCAAAAATGTTGACGACGATTACGATGATGAAGATAGGTTTGTTACTTCATTTCTTTTTTTGTATCTTTAGTTATCTTTCTATTTCTTGTATCTTTGATTATTTTGTGTGTATGTGGTGTGTGTGTGTGTGCGTTTGTGCGTGCATGTGTGTGTTATTATGAACAAATTACACAATAATGTCAAAGTAAAAAGTTAAATATAAATCCCATAGCAAAAACTTTATTTAATTTGTTTAGAATAGCAAGACATCGGAAATTAGTTGAACCGGAAGTCTTAGAAAAATCTGATGACGATGAAAATGATTACGACAATGATGAGAGAGATGAAAGGAGGCGCTACATAAATGATGGCGATGCCAGCGATGATGAGGACCTCGATGATGAGGTGAGTAGTTACTATTTTCTGTTCTTTATACATCAAATTTTTGGGATTGTTTTTTCCATTTGTTCGTTCGTTCAGTCATTCTTTCATTCATTTATTCATCCATGTTTAACATTTTTCATACAAGCAAACAAACAGATTATTCCTTTAATCATTCGTTCACTCACTCAATTTTCATTCCTTCAACACAGGAGATAGAGAGAAGGAGGGAGGCAATCAGACTAAGGATACTTAATCAGAAGAAAGACGAGGTCCGTTGTTGGTTTCTTTATACACATACGCAGTTAAACACATACACTCACACACACACACACACACACACACACATTCTCATAATACACACATAGACATACTTAAATACATTCCTACAGCAGATACTCACATATTCACACAACACACACACACGTACACATACTTACACACATTCACACAGCAGATACACACACAACACACACACACAAACGTTCATACACACACATACGCATACTTACACACACACACACACACACACACACACTAAACTGACAGGACATCCTAGATAGGGCAGACGAAAGTGACAGTGGGAACGAAAAACAAGATGGCGAAGATGATGATGATGATGATTATGAAGAATATTCCGAATCGGAAGAGGAAGAAGTCGAGCCGAGGCTTAAACCTGTTTTCGTCAGGAAGTATGTGAATAAATTATGCTGATTTTGCTTCATCTATTTTTTCATTGATTGATCAATCAATCACTCAATCAATCAATTACTTAATCAACCAACCAATCAATCAGTCAATTGATCATCCAATAAAAAATTTGATCCTTCTATTGACTCTTTCATTGGTTTTCTTATTCAGGAAAGACAGGATAACGATACAGGAAAAGGAAAAAGAACTTCAGAAACTGAAAGACCAGGAGTATGAGAATAAGAAACTGGCCAATGAAAGAAGAGCTCAGACATTAAAGGCAGCTTATAATTATATTTTAATTATGATAATAACTATGTTAAACATAATAATTATTTCTACTATTACTACTACTGCTATAACTGTTACTACTACTACTATTACTAATAATGATGATGATGATGATGATGATAATAATAATAAACATAATTCAAGATGGTGGAAGCCGAGATAAAGAGAGATATGGAGACGAAAGTGAAGGAGAACGAGGACGAGTTTGGCGGGGTCGTCTCAAATGATGAAAATGATGAAGAGCAGTATGAAGCTTGGAAGGTGAGGATTGGCTGAGTGGCTGGTTGATTGATTGATTGATTGGTTGATTGATTGGTTGGTTGATTGATTGATTGATTGATTGATTGATTGATTGATTGATTGATTGATTGATTGATTGATTAGTTAATTGACAAATTGATTTGTTAGTTTTTTTATTTTAGTTAATTAGTTGATTAATCTTCTTATTTTTAATTTGTTTTGTTTCCCTACTTAAGGTTCGAGAGTTGAGAAGATTGAAAAGAGACAGAGACGAGAGAGAAGCGTTAGTTTATTATTTCTCAATTTTTATTCATCCATTTACATTATTCCCGCTCAGTCGTTCGCTATTTCATTCTTTCATCACTCATTTATTCATTCTCTCACTCCTTAACTACTTCATTCCTGAAAGAAACAAAGTGGCTTCATCACTTGCCCATTTTTTTTATCATTTCTTCTCACGCGAGCTCACACACGCACACACCTCATACAGACACACACACGCACACACACGCACACGCACACACACACACACACACACACACACGTACATAACAGGATAGATAGGGAGAAACAGGAACTTGAGAGGTTGCACAACATGACTGAAGAGGAACGCAGGCAAGAGCAGAAACTGAATCCGAAAGTTGTCACGAACAAGGCGCCGAAAGGGAAATACAAATTTCTACAAAAATATTATCATAGGGGTGTCTTTTATTTGGTTCGTTGGTTTGTTTATTTTCATTTCGTTCGTTCGTTCGTTCACTTGTTCACATTCGTTTTTTCATAATGGTTTGAACTATTACAGATAAACATTTATAAATATAATTATTGTAGTAATAAATGAATTACGATCGATACAAATCATTAACCAGGACAAAGATGATACAGTATACAAGAGGGATTTCACGGCACCTACATTGGAAGACCACTTCAACAAAACTGTACTTCCTAAAGTCATGCAGGTTGGTCGGTTGGCTAGTTGATTGGTTGGCTGGTTGATTGGTTGGCTGGTTGATTGGTTGGCTGGTTGATTAGTTAGCTGGTTGATTGGTTGTCTGGTTGGTTGATTGGTTGGCTGGTTGATTGATTGTTGGATTCGTTGAACAATGTACCCACCCCAACCAACCCCAGGTAAAGAACTTCGGCAGATCGGGTCGAACAAAGTACACTCATTTGGTTGACCAGGACACGACACAATTCGAATCGGCCTGGGTAGCTGACACGGCCATGAACTTGAAGTTTCACACGAATAAGGGTGGAGGTATGAAGCAACAGTTCGATAGACCGGCCATCAAAAGAAAATGAATAAATTATGATAAACGATTATACGAATCGGGATTGTTATTATTTTTAATCTTTTATTTTATGCTATGTGAATAAAGTTATGAAAATGTATGGTCTTTTGTCTTTCTAACAGATTGTCAAACGCTTTCATTTGTCAACCTACATTTTTTGGGGTGGTTTCTTTAGTTTCACTATTTCAGCTCCACATTCCATATGGTAGCCAATCAATCAATGAATTAGCTTATAATGAGCTATTTTCGCGATGTTCAACAGCGCTCCTAGTAGGTAGAGAGTTCCAGAGAAAGGGGCCAGAAAAAGCAAATGCAGATTTAGCAAAAGAGAGTTTAACACGAGTTAACACGAATGAGAACAAGAAGACGATCGTAAACGTAAATATATCTGATAAGTACTTAGGAAATAATTTAGAGACTTATACACAATGTGCAAATTTTAAAAATTATTCTTTAACTCATCGGTTGAATCAAGATGCGTACCAAAAACGTCAACTTGTACATTTTTATTATCCGAAAACTAAGTCCTACATGAATCTAGTAACAAACTTCCAGCTTGGTTTACTGTATCAGTGCCACATTCAAAAAAATTGAACTATAGCGCGTGTTCAGGTGTTCACTATATCTATGGTTCAGAATCTTATTGAACAAAGTAGTATCGTAAAATAAAATTAATGAAGATACTTTTTCAAAAATTTAAAAATTTCTCAATTTGATTTCATTGCGATATCGATGATGATGATTGTGACCTGACTAATTAAAAAACATCAAATAAAATTTATTAAATAGGATGGTTAATTCCTTCATTGCGAAATCGTTAGAGGAAATGACGTCATGTTAACAGTAGTTATTTTACTGCATGGTAGTAAATACATGCACGTGTAAATACAACATTTATGATGTTGTATTTACACATTCAAATTGTACAATTGAGTTATGGTTTAGTCTCAAATTATTTAGAATTCTCTCAGAAAAATTTAAACTTTTTGCTATTAGTTACTTTTATCAACAATTTAAAAAAAAATTTCAATTTGATTTCATCGCGATATCGATAATGATTTTTGTGACCTGTCTGATTAAAAAGCATCAAAGAAAGTTTTTAAAATAGGATGGATAATTTGTTATATTGGGATATTAGTATATAGAGCTAGCAAAATTTTAATATAAAAGCGCTTATAAATCTACGCATATTGGCTCAGCTTGGCTCGGCTCGGCTCGGCTCGGCTTGGAATTGGATGCTAAGCAAGGTGTGGTCTCAAACTATTTTGAATTCTCCCCGAAAAATTTGAACTACGGAGTACATGCATATATAGCACTGATTACTGTTGTTTTTATAATGAATTTATATTATATTATATATATATATATATATAATAAAGTTTATATTCACTAAATGTAAACAATAAATATCAACAAAACCTAACAAAGTCTTAAACTAGACAACTAAAAACACCTTAGCCCATTTTTTAAACCAATGCTACGTTTTTAACCAACATTTTTAAATGGTCTTAAAATCGAATTTATCCTCAGGCAACCAAAGCATAGGCAACGATTAATTACAAGCACAATCGAAGTTATCCGGAGAATTTAGGTTGTGAATTAATGCAGCTTCCACTGAGGCTCTTTTCTCCCTGGCCACCAATCCATGAGCTTCAAAAAGGATCGTTATTATTATGGCGAATAAATATGAAAACAAGAAAAAAACAGAATAAATATTATATATTTATTCATATATAATTTATATTATAATAAAACTAAACTAAAGACATCATAGTTTCACTATTTTGCGTATTATATTAATAGATAGCTGGGTAGGAGTCAATTTGCATTCGAGCAAGTTACTGCAACCAAGAGCCACGCAAGTAACATTGACGATTACATTGCCAGGCTGACTATTTCTTCATCAGGCCAAGTTTTGGTTCAGTGATAATAATGTTATCATCCAATTATATTCATAATTTATATCAAAAAATGAAGTAAATTCATAAAAAAATTTAGGAAACTCCAAACTAACCATCATTCAAAGGCATACATTCTACGATTACCGTTAGTATTCCAATTAACGATATAGCAACCAACATCATCATCGTCGTCGTCGTCATCATTTTTTTCATCATATTGGGATTACTTTCTATTTTATTTTTAATTTAATTGATTTCTAATTTCTTCCTACCCTCGTCACGATTCAATCCAAGCCAAAATCCCTGATGAACAATCCAACCAAGAACAAGCTAACCAGAACTTGATGGATGATTATGATGATGATGACGATCACGACGAAGATTATTATTTTTATTACTGTTATATTTTATTATTTTATTTTAAAAAGTATGAATTTATATGAGTGTATATTTTTTAAAATTCGAACGAATCCTTCAAAATAATTTCATATCAGTCAATTTAACGGCTTTCTAGAGAGAGAAAAAGAAAGATAGAAAAAGAGAGAGAGAGACAGATTGGGAAGAGAGATAAAGATTGATTCGTATTTATCACGGCGATACACACAAGAACATCTGCTGACCATGAATAAATTATATACATATACACACATACATACATACATTTTTTTACACGCATACATACATACATACAAACAAACAAACAATCATACATGCCTACGACCCCAGCACCTTAAGAATATTCATTCTGACCCTTTGCCAATCGGTGACAAACTAAACTCCTTAACCCAGTTCATTGATCTGATCCTATCTGGAGCCTGCCCACTCCCTCGCCGGTTCTTCTTCTTCGGACGACTAATAGTTTTAAATAAAAAAGACGAAGGGTCAGACAGATTGCAGTTGGAAATGTTTTGAGGAGGTTAGCCAGCAAATGTGCCCTAGCCCTGGTGGTGGTTGAACTCAAAGACCAAATTCTACACGACTCAGTTGGGTGTCGGGGTTTAAGGTGGTGCCGAGGCTGCTGTTCATGCGGTTCGAAGACTGGTCACCAACCTCTCCGATTAATGGGGTCTCTGAGATTGGACTTTAGAAATTCCTTCAACGCCTCGATGTTAGAGGCTGTCTAATTTTTTTGCCCCAATATTTATAATTTCTGCCGTTCTGCTTATGGCTGAGTCTCTTTTCTTGGCTACCACTCTTGAGTTGTAGAATCGTCCAAGGGGGTACAGCAGGGTGATTCCCTTTACGGTCCCTGACACTCCTTCCGAACGATATGTAAATCTGAAAAGTATAAGGAGTGTGGTTTGACGCGCGGGCAGCGGACGAGAAAATGAAAAAATATGAAAACGCCCTCCCCCAATGGATTTTTTGCCAATATGTATCGAGGTTCTCGGCTCGATGGACCCCAACACCCTTAAATTTCTTAATTCTAAATGTAAATTAATCAGCGTCAGATCAGGCGACAGCAGAGAACTGTTCTTCGCAGCTAACCACATTTCGTGCTTGTTGCAGCGGTTCCTGCGTGTCTGTGTGTTGGAAAATATCCAGTTAAATGCCGACGTAATGGCAAATCAAAGTGTTAATCCACTTGTTACTTGATGTTTGACTGTTCAGTGTCATTCATCATGTTTTGGTTCTAACATACATACGTACACATACACACACACACACATTCTAACACATACACACACACACATTCTAACACATACACACACACACACACACACACAAACACACATACATATATATGTGAAGAGAAACATAGAGAGAAAGATAGAGCGGGATCGCCTTGGGTACATATGGAAATCTATCGCTATTTTATGGTAATACATGCCTGTTGATATAAAGCATACTTATGAACATTTTTGAACTGTTGTTTTTAACCATGGGTTCGTTCTTACGAACATACATACAAGATATCATAGATATCATACATAGATACTATAAATACCATACATACAAACATTCATAAATAGATGCATTCATAGATACATTCGACATACGATGCAATAAACCTATATACCTATTACGCACACATATACACGTACACACACACGTACACACACAGGCAAACCCACCTACCCACATACACACACACACACAAACAAACATAAATAAAATCGATCTCTAGAACTTCAATAAAATATGTTACCAGACAGCGAATTCAAAACTTCATTAGTGTATGATAGCTACTAGGTACCAGCTCTCTATGATTTATAATAATAATAATAATAATAATAATAATAATAATAATAATAATAATAATAATAATAACATCATCGTCACCACTAGGAACGTCATCATCGGCAATTAAGTCATAAAAAACTATAAATAATTCAAATTTCGATACCGAAAATAATATTATGAAACGAGACGAAATAATTTAGTCATGTTCCGACATCACTTTAAACTAAATGACGAATGAATAAATATTTTTTCACATTTTAAATTTATTATTTATTTAAATTTAATAAGATTTTAAAAATTATTTCATTATTATTCTAGTTATTTTATTTATATTTAGGCATATTTATAGCTAAAATAATTATATAAAATGTACTGTCCAACAAAGCCAAATTATCTTTTCAGCAAGCCAAAAGAGGTAAGCTAGGCGCCACATAAATAAATTTATATTTCTCAGAATTTTTAGATTCAGAATATTCTTAAATTAATTATTTAATTATTTGTATTCAGCAACATCAACAACAACATCAACAACAACATCAATATCAACAAAAACAACAACATCAACAACAAAAACAAAAATGACAATTCTGACAAAAAGCCCACGAAAATGACGTCAAAATGGATGATGATCATGTTGTCGACTTCATTGTTGGTCCTTTTCGTTGAGAACAGCCGTGAAGATGACAAAAATGAAGATGGTGGTGATTGTGAAGATGAGAAGATGATTATGATGATGAAGATGAGAAAGAAGATGATTATGATGATGAAGATGAGAAAAAAGAGGAAGAAGATGATGATGATGGTGAAGATAAGGAAGATGATGACTATGATGGTGAAGATGAGAAAAAAAAAGAAAGAAGATGATGATGATGGTGAAGATAAGGAAGATGATGACTATGATGGTGAAGATGAGAAAGAAAAGGAAGAAGATGATGATGATGGTGAAGATGAGGAAGAGGATGATTATGATGGTGAAGATGAGAAAGAAAAGGAAGAAGATGATGATGATGGTGAAAATAAGGAAGAAGAGGAAGAAGGAGCTGATGATGGTGAAGATGAGAAGGAAAAGGAAGAAGATTATGATGATGGTGAAAATAAGGAAGAAGAGGAAGAAGAAGATGGTGATGGTGAAGATGGTTATCTTTTCAAGGCAATAATAATTATTATTAATTATCATAGTTGTTGTTATCATCAGCTGTCTTATCATCGTACACACATCTTACGTACCGAGACACGCGCTCGCACGAACACAGACACACACACACACAGACACACACACACACACACAGACACACACACACACAAACACGAACAGAACCAAACGATAGTAACAACGAATAATAGTAAAAAGATGATAAATAATATTTTATAATTAAATTATTTATAAAGTTATAATAACATTATATTAATAATTTTTAATAATTACTCATAATTTCGTTTTTTGTAGAAGCGGTTCTTTAGGTTTATGAGGAACCATGTTGAAGATGATGATGAAAGTTTGCTATAAAATAATTAACAACCACAACGACTAAATTATATTTAATTAATTATTAATTAAATTTAATTATTATTATTCAAGATTTTAACTTTAAAATAAAATATACAAGTAGCATTCTGATCTTGTTTCATTTCTATCAAAATTTGAAAAAAAAATCGAAATAAAAGCATTAACAACAAGATAATAACAATAACAACAACAACAACAACGAAATAATAACAATAATAGTAATAATAATTATAATAAGAGAGCAATAAAAAGATATGAATTCAACAAGCAGGGGTGGGCAAACTTTTTGAAGTGAGGGCCGCTTTGAGAACTATTTTACCTTTGAAGGGCCGCATATCTACATAAAAAGCAAACTTTTTCGACCCGAGGGAGAATTTTTTAAGATTCGTGACTCCTTTTTTTTGATCGTAACATCTGGCTGACGAACAAGGCTTTGCGGGCCGCATAAAATAGCGGGCCATAGTTTGCCCACCCCTGACTTAAAATGTTCTTGCAATCATTCAATTTTCAATAGCGTTTACATATTCAAGTCATTCATTCATCATTTGTTCATTCATTCATTCAGTTAATCAAGAATGAATGAATAAATAAATGAACGAACGAACAAATGAATAAACGAACAATCGAATGAATGAATGAACGAATGAATGAAAGAACAAATGAATGATTGGTATGAACAAATGAATAAAAGATGAATAAATGAACAAAAGATAACAAAAGTGGAATATTATTTTAAAAAAGATTTTTACAAAAAAATTAAATAAAATAAAGCGAAACAAAAGTCAGAGATTCAAAAGTATAAATTGGATCATTTTTGATGACACGTGTTCATTCGTTTGTTCCGTTCGTCCATTCATTCGTTCGTTAGTTCATTCATTTGTTAATTAATTAAATAACTAATTGATTCATTGATTCATTCATCATTCATTCATTCATTCATTCATTCGTTTCCTTCAGATTATCGATCAGGATTTTCTCAGCTGGGCCAATCTTTGAGACAATTCGTCCTAAAAAAATAAAAAACGAATGAAAGAAAAAGTGAATTAATAAATAAATGAATTAACTAACTAAAAAATGAATGAATGAACAAACGAACGAACAAAAATAAATGAGTGAACCTGGTCTTTGGAAGCAGTTCCAACTGAAGAACTCATTGCTTGCGGCATTTCCATGTTTAGTTCAATTCTATTATGACGTCATCATTAATCACAATTAAGATGACGTCATCAATAATTACAATTAAGATGACGTCATCAATAATTATAATAATTTATTTACCATTGTTTTTACGTATTCTATTTATTTCAATCATATATAAGATCCCGTCAAGAAGCTACCCCTACAAAACGACCCAACCCCTTAAACAAACGCACCCAGCCTCGTCCGCCACTTCCACCATGAGGGCCTCAACTTGGTTCTGCGGCGTGGTAAGTGTGGATGAGTTTGCCATCGTGTCCTCCATCACCTGCGTCTGCACGTCCAAGTGCTCAAACTGCTGCTCGAATCGATCCATCAAAGTCGAGATCTACGTTGATTGGTTGGTTGGTTAGTTGGTTGGTTGGTTAGTTGGTTGGTTGGTTGGTTGGATGGTTGGCTGATTGGTTGGTTGGTTGATTGATTGGTTTGTTGATTGATTGGTTGGTTGGTTGGTTGGCTGGTTGGTTAATAAAAGATTGTCTGATTGATTGGATGATGCATTTGTAACGTAAGGTTTGTGTAATGAATAGCTAATTAAGAATTGTAATTCATGTTAAAGAATTTTGTTACATTCATCTATCAGAATCTCCAAATAAACAAAAAATATTCCTAAAAAAAACGAATTTTAATAAAAAGTTCCGACTAATTTCAAAATGATTTCCAAGACGAACCTTCTCCAAGTTCATGCTGCTCATCGCTGACGTCATCGCCTTCACTACGCCCGCCATTGATTGCGTAACCTTCGGGAATCATCATCATCATCATCATTTACAACAACATCATCATCGTCGGCAACAACAACATCATCATCATTATCATCATCATCATTGTCATCATCATCATTATCATCATCATCATTGTCATCATCATCATTATCGGCAACAACAACATCATCATCATCACCGTCGTCATCATCATCATCAACAACATCATCATCATCGTCGTCGCCATCATTATCATCAACAACATCATCATCATCATCAACTTCGTCGTTATCATAGCATTAGTAGTAGTAATAGTAGTAAAGGTAATGTAACAGTTTTGTGTCTAACTTTCCCCATTGTTACGGCACTTTGAACTCTGGCGGCCACTGCATCTACCCTGGCACTCATCCGACGGTAGTTCAGCGACTGATTCTTCTGCCTAATTGAGTTTTCTCCGTGAATCCGCGCGCCCTCCATGTTGCATTTTATTATCGCCTGTTTTCGGTTAGTGGTTGTTTTTTGATTTGATTTTTGTTCTTTGTTATGTTAAGAGCTCAGCTCTTATATTTAAAACTATACACGCCTCACGTGTGCGTGTGTGTGCGCGCGTGTGTGTGTGGCAGTTTTTCAATTGGTTGGTTGAAAATAAAATTAGAAAAACTGGTTGGATAGAAACGTTCGAATGAAAATCTATTAAATTCCAACTTGCTTCAGCTTATTCTTCTCAATAACTTCTTGTTTGTCACATTTCTTGGCGTATTTTTCCAGGTTTTTGGAGGCAAATCTCAAATTGAAGAGTTCGTCTGTCATAAAAAGATGTAACTTTAATATATAAAACTTCGTAAAATATTAATTAAAAATGCACCAAGTTCTTAGGATTCTCACTACTTCTACTACTACTGCTACTGCTACCACCACCACTACTACTACTACTACTACTACTACTTCTACTACTACTACTACTACTACTACTACTACTACTACCTACCACTACTACTGCTACTACTACTACTACTGCTGCTGCTGCTACTACTACAAATACTACTACTAATAATGGACTTTACGTAAGATTAGGGAATGTGACTATCAGATAACAAATGTTGCAATGATGTAATCAATGTTATAATGTAATCAATGTACTAATCGCTAATTGACTAATTAGTAATGTAATGTAATGTATGTTATGTAATCACGTAATCATTACGTCGTAATGTAATGTAATTGATCTCGAAGTAATCAATGAAATTAAAAAATATTAACTAACTTTCGAGTTTTTTAGACATCGCGATTTGAAAAAATTCAAGTTAAAAATAAAATAAATTAATTAATAAATGATTTACAATTTATAAGTAAAACCCGGAACTAAATTAAATATGGAATTCCCCATTTCTTTTTTTGTTTATTCATAGACATTGCAACATCAAACATGTTGGTTTTATTAATTTTCACATTTACAGTTTCTTTGGTTACGTTGCGACGGTTATGACGTGTAGAAATAATAATAATAAAACATTTTTGAACGAAAATAAATAAACAAAAGTCTACAATTTATATCAAATTAATAACAATTAATAAAATTTATAAAAATCTCTAGGGCCTAATTATCAAAAGTTGCTCCTTTAGAATAGAAATTATCGAAGTTTTATTTTAAGCTATTCATATTAACAGGTTACCGATGATCTTAATTACACTAAAAGTGATATATTTATATTTGAAAGTATTTGTGTGGGTCATCACATCATCACAAAATCATCACAATACAATAAAAATCACTATTATTTTAAGCAAAATCATCATAATTTCATTAAAAATCACCAAAGTCTCATATAAACACGATATGATGATAATCATAGTGATAATCTTATACAAAATCACCGTCACCGTTCCAGACAGAAGACGGTCATTAACTTCACCTCCCACTAAAATTGCCGACCCTAAAATGTCGAACTGCGTAAAATCGAGTGACCAGTTCACTTACGCCGAATGGAAGGCCAACCAAATGAACGTTTTGTTGGGGGCCGAGCTAGACAGGGCCTCGGCCGAAAGGCTGACAAACGAAACGAAACGATACATCGACGAGATGAGGCAAGCCAGTCAGCATTCTGATCAGAGAGCTGAGTTCTCACAGGAAAGAAGAATGGAAGAAGTTCGATACTGGCAGGTTGGATGATGAATAAGTTAACATAATTTATCATAAATTAACAGTGAAGGGTTTAATTATTCTTAATAAATCATCGTGATAGATAGATAGATAGGATTAGGGTAAGGACATTGAAATACACATCATGAAGTTAATGAAACCATTTTTTTCATCGAGTTATGAATATTTAAGATAAAAACTAGCCTACATAATACATTTTTATTACATTCTAATAAATATGAACCACACGAAACAGAACGAGTTAAACATGAAACTCGATCAAATCAAGCTAGCCATCAATGATCTCTCGTCCATTGATAGGCGGTTGGACAAAGCAATGGACTCTATCAAAGAGAATTGTCACATCGTTCATAAGTGCCTGGAAGCACGCAAGAGAAGAAAGAGAATTTATTTGGTTCGTTTATTATCACTACTATATTGTGTTTATACGGTATAAGGGTCTTCTGGTTCTGTGCTACAAAGTAGCCTAGTTCAAACGCAAACATATCCCAGACTGTCCAACACAAAATTGTCTGATACGTTGGTCACCGCAGGTTGTATGCCGTTGTCGATACTACAAATTAATGTTATAAGATAATAATATTAATATTTACTATTGAAGAACTTAATTTAAAAATTTTTTAAATATTAATCTAAATAAAAATTATAAAATGTAAATATCGTAGAAGTATTTCAAAATAATCCTTAGGTGTACGATCCGGCCGAGAAGCAGTTGTGCAAGGAACGTGAAATCATCGAAGGGGTGCTGGCCCTACACTGCAAAACTAAATCACAAGTTAATGACCAGGTTAGGTTCTTTTTTTAATTCTTTTAATGCAGGTAAAAACATACATGGTCGGTTCAGGTCCAAATTTTGAGTTGTGACTCTGAGGCTTTATTTCAATTTTCAGAGCACCAAAATCGCAACGCAATAATTTTTTCTAAAAAGTTAGCGAATAAACTAGCTTCGAATATTATACATTTGACGTTATTGTTACCAAAACCGGTGATTTTTACAACGGAATGAGTGTTAAAACGACAAAGTTGCATAAACTTCCTGTAGGCATTCGAATAAGAATTCGGAACATTTGACAAATGTTTAAAAAGTAAAGATGCTTCTTCCCACTTCAAAAACATTTATGCCTCGTCATGCATCTAACAAAATGGCATTACCTCGGTAACCTTAATAACACGGAACGATGTAAGAAATTGCAAATGAATAAACTATAGAAAATACAATAAAATTATTATATTATTACCTATAATTTTTATTTTATAATATTATTAATATAATTCTCATTTAATTTCAATCCCCAGTTACGTCTTTTGCGTAAACTTCGCCACGACATCGAGAAGGATGTTCTGATGAAGCTGACGAACTTCGATGTCGAAATGGAAAGTAGCGAAATCAGGGCTAAAAAAGCGGCAATTGCGGCTTATAACTACGACCCGAATTGTGAAGGTGCCGAATTATGTCCCTGCAAACTAGAAGGTGTGTCTGTCTGTCTGTGTCCATCTATGTGTGTGTTTGTGTGTGTGTGTGTTTCTATGTATCTGTTGTTGACATTGTTCCCAGTTGCAGGTGTATATAATACATACGATACATTTGTAAGGTTTCCTCATTAATTCTACCTTGCAAATTTTATTTTCTATATTATTCCTTATTTTATATTATGTTCTCTATATTCTTTATTATAAGTTTCAATCATTTACACTTGATGGTCATATATTATACTACTGTCACTATCGCAGCTACTGCCACTACTGCAACTTCTATATCTTCTACCACACTACTACTACCAATAATAATTGCAATAATAATATCTACAATAACCAAATGAAAACTAATTTTAATTATAAATAGGACACTGTTGCCAAAAGACGAAGAAACCTGGCGGGCTGTCCTCGATCTCTGATTGGCTGACGCAAGTGAAATCGGTGCATACAGAGGCGGAGAAGCAGCGACAGAACGCGGCAAATCTTACCTCAATTGCCGACAGTAGCCTCAAACAAACTAAAGACGACCTGCAAAATATCAAAGTGGCTACTGATGACGCTTTCAGGGAGAGGATTTATGAGTTGAGAGACCACAAGGTGATTGGAGGGAAAATGCGGAGGTTGAGAAGGTTTAGCTGCAAGTAGTGGTAGTTGCTTTGGTAGTAGTAAACTAGTAATTTTAGCAGTAGTAGTAGTAGTAGTATTAGTAGTAGTATTAGTAGTAGTAGTAGTAGTAGTAGTAGTAGTAGTAGTAGTAGTAGTAGTAGTAGTAGTAGTAGTAGTAGTAGTAGTAGTAGTAGTAGTAGTAGTAGTAGTAGTAGTAGTAGTAGTAATTGATCATTAAAATTGATAAGTTGTCTTACTACTGTGACAAAACAAGGCTAAAATGGAGGATCATCTCCAGAAAGTGGTAAAACAGATCCAAGAGATGGAGACAACCTCACAGTCACTCATCAACGAGATCAACATTTACACAAAGAAGTTAACTTTTGAGCAGTCCAAGATTCAACCCCTCCAAAATTGCCCTCAGAATCTGTTGGACAGTGAGGAGGTCCTGGTTACCAACTACTGTACCAATAAGGGCAATGTTGAGAAGTTGAAGGACAACCTGGCCTGTGTGCAGTGCTCTCTTAAGAGTTTGCAATGTCGTAAGGTTTGGATTTTTTCTGAAAATTTCACAGTTGAATTTTCTTTTTTTCGCTTTTTGTTAGTTTCCGTTGTTTCCATTCGTTTTGTCTTCATGTAAATTTTTGAGAAATATTTAATGTTTTTCTTTTTTATTGTTAAGAAATGTCGTATTCTGCCTTAAATATTGAACGTAATGCAACATAGCACTCGTTAGTTTGAGATTTTGAAATTATAGAAATAATAAAATGTTATAACTATTATTATGATTGAATAATATTATAATTTATAAAACAACAAAATAGGTGGAGGTTGAGAGCGACCTGAAGTTATGCACGGAGGCACTGACCATCGACGATTACGAATGTCTTCCTATGAGACAGTCCATCAAATACTTTCTGTACTAGAAGGCTGGGTATTCTAGGTGTTTCTATATTTAGATGTGAGAAATTCCTAATGTTTCTATATTTAGATATGGGAAATCCAGTTGTTTCCGTATTAAGGTAACGGAAATTATTGACAAAGTTTCAATACCTTTATAACTCAAATTTTCAGTAATGGTTTGACTATTTTTCAAGTTCTGACAAATTTATCTTTTTAATTTTTATAATTATTTATTTCAAATAAACATAAAGCCTAAAATTAATTCAATATAGTTAAATACTTACTTCGATTTCAAAATACGTTTATCAGTGCGCCTTATTATGATATACATATAATTAATAATATTGTTGTTGTTAATTATTCCTTCCTTGTTAATTCTCAATGGTATTTCTTAGATTTATTCACATAGACGGAGCGTGTGTGTAAATACACTTGGACTCGGGCATTTAGCTCACTATGCGTTCGAACCTGGTTAGTGCAGCAGCAGAAACAGACGTCATAACCACTATTCCATCCTGCCGTTCACGTGCTATTATTATTTAAACTTGCCTATGATGACCTTTCTTATACACTTCTTTAAGTTTGAATTCAATTTTGTGTCGAGTTGAATTATCTTTGGAGAGTAAGTATTGAAAATTAAAACGCCGCTCCGTGTTATAATTAAATGTTAGTTTATAAATAGTGCTGCAAAATATGCAGTATTGCAGTGTATATGAAGAATATGAAGAATGGAGAGAGAGAGAGAGAGGAAAGAGAGAGAGAGAGAGGAGAGAGTTGTAACATCCAGCATCTTATCTTTTTCAGTGCTGAAGCTGTGGTGAGTAAACATTGAACAGCTAGAAGTTTAAGAACACTTTGTAGAAGTTTAACTGGGTGTCTGTGTGTGTAATACATACGTACATACATCATATTAACATACGTACATATATACATACGTACAAATGAAACGGAGATTATGAATGTCCAATTTAATTGTATAAACGGGTTTACCTTTATTAGCGTTAATCTGTAAACAAACAAAAACAGTAAACGCTTCATAATTAATTAATTATTAAAATGACGTCACGATGTTTTTGTTTACTAATTGATTTGTCTTTAATGTTGCGTTGGACATGTTTGTATTTGGCCGTCTTTATGAAATAAAATTTGAAAATATATAAATAATAGTTATAAAAATAATACAATTACTATTGCTACTTCTACTGCTGCTGCTACTGCTACTACTACCACTACTACAAAAACAACTATAGCAATAAAAATAATAATAATAGTAATACGTTATGTGTCAGGGTTTAATTAAAAGTCTCAGAAAACATCAATGTAAAGTATGCACGATCATTATCATCTTCTTTTGGGGCTTAAAGAACAGGTAATAACGTTGATTTTGTATTTTTTCATTCAATTATAATATAAAATTATGAATGGACATTGCTTTACAGTGAAGAATCATGATTATTAATTATGAATTGAAGTAGCAGTTTTACAAATTCAGTATGATGTAATTTTTCTTAAAGTTTAATTTGTAAAATCATTCATTGCAAACTCGCTATGCTGTTTTAAACTCACGAAATTTATTCCATTTAATCAATAAAGTGAAAAAATTTATTTCAAATTTAAAAAATAAACTAGATTCACGGCAGAGAGGCCAAAGCTAACAGACAAGTTTCGGGACTTAGATAAATACATAGAGGAATTAAGAAACGCAAAATTTCCACCTTACAACTACCAGCTACTCCAATCGGAAGCACAGAGAACAGAGACCACTAATCCTTTGCAACTTCCTGGAAAGAGCAGAAATCATCCCCACAATGATGATAATAGCCGCAAAAGTAATGATAGTGATCTTGTAGATGCTGATGACGATCGCGACGATTCTGTTGGTAGAAACTGCTCTCTCGGTATCACAAACTGCTCGAAAGGATTAAAAATGATGGGGAAGAAGAATAATGTTAATCCTCGTAAAATTGATGAGGGTGGTGGTGTTGGTGGTGGTGGTGTTGGTGGTGGTGATGATGTTGTTACCTTTGATAGTAATCGTTTTACAGTTAAAAGTACCACCAGTTTCGATGGCAAATTTCGAAATGATGTGCGAGACTTGAGGGGCAACAACAACAACAACAACGTTTTGCACCATAATGACGTCAACAACTCCTACAACGATAATAGCATCAGCAGTAACAACAACAACAACAATAGTACTTTAAACAATGACATCAACAACAACGGCACCACCATCAGTTATGACATCATGAAAGACATCCACATTAACGAGAACATAAACAAACTGGCCACCAACAAAGACAACAAAATCTTTCGCACTGAACTGAAGAACAATTCATACAGCAGCCAAGACGAGAAGGTTTACAGATCAAACAACATTAACAACAGCAATAACAACAGCCACAAGAATGATACTTTAAACAGCCTAAACAACAACAACAAAAAACGCGTTGATAACATCAACAACAAAAATATCATTAACAACAACAAAAACCACACAAACTTATTCAATGTGAAAGACGCCTTGAACATCGTCAGGGAGAACGAACACAGCAAAACTAGCAACAACAAAATTTCAGCCAACAACATTAATAAAAACAACATCAACGCCGCTAACAACAACAACAATGACAGCATTGTAGACATCATCAACAACAACAACAGCATCAGCAACACCAACAACATCAGCAACGACAACAACAACATCAGCAACAACAACAACATCAACAAAAACAGCAACAACAACAACAACAACAACAACAATAATAATAATAAAAACAACATTAATGACAATGCTTATGACACTTATTACGACGATATTCTGGTCGGTTTCGATCGGAACATCAGCAATACCAAAAAGAACAATAACAATAATAATAACAATAACAACAATAATAACTTTCAAATCTATCAACAATGGTCTGAAGAGTTAGTAGATAGTTTAAAAGTGGATTTTTCGCTGACGAACAAAATTATGGCGCTGTATTCTGAATCCAAAATTCAAGAAATTAATCGCTTGGCAATGCTACAAAAGGCCAAATATAATTTGAAATATAGAAAGTACAAAAACCACAACAACAGCAACAGCAACAACAATAATAAAAAGAATTATACCAACGATAATATTAATAATAATAAACCGAGTATATTATTAATTACAGTCGTTCATTCGGCACCTGGGCACTTCAAAGAACGAAGCGTGATTCGACGAACCTGGGCACGAACTGACAACGAAGTTTTCACCTTCTTTCTTATTGGTCAGTTAAATTATGAAAATATAAAGATCATAATTATAATTATTATTGTTAATTTAATTATTACATTTTATATTTTTACGATTCTATATTAAGTATTTGTCAGAAGCACCAACAGAGTGCATGCGAGTAAAATACGCCTAAGCTTTACTAATCTGACATTTAGCAAGTGATGGGTGGAGATCTTTTGGCATTCGAATCCAGTCACTACAGCAGCATTGCCAGGCACCTTAATCAGTACGCCATCTATTAGTCGTACCATTTTCATTCATAGCACGACTAAAAATGATCAAACACCCACTGACGAAGGTACGCAGGGACTCAGCGAGGTTTATATGACTCTGATAGAGAAAGAATCGCAGACCCATGGCGATATTTTTACTGCTGGCTTTGAAGACAGTTACGCCAATCTGACGCTCAAGTCGCTAGCCATGCTTCTAAAAATCGGTGAGGCGTTCGGCGAGGCCGCGCGCCTTATTGGCCGAACAGAGTTGAGAAATAATATCGGTAAGAATAGTAATAATAATAGTAATAACATCAATAATAATAATAATAATAACAATAATAATAATAATAATAATAACATCAATAATAACATCAATAATAATAAAAGTGTTGATGACGTTATTGGTAATATCGATGGTGAAATGAATCGTTATAAGATGCAAAATTTTAGCACAAATGGCCACAACAACAAAGATAATAATAATAATAATAATAATAATAATAATAATAATAATAATAATAATAAACTCATCGATTTCTCGAACATTCCAAGTTCGATAGTGGACAAATCGCTCAACCGGTTTTTCTTGATGAAGGTCGACGACGACACGTTCGTCAATGTCGAATCTCTGGATAACATTCTCAGTGCCCGCGCATCTATACAAGGTACCGACAACAACAACAACGACAACAATGACGTCATCGACAACAACACAAACAATACAAATAACACAAATAACATCGACAACAACAACAACGCCAACAACGACAGCGGTGTATACGCCATCGGTTATGAATTCAAAAAAGTTCGACCGACTCGCTTTCCCACCAACACCTCCAAAATTTCCAAATCTAGTCGAACCAAAATAACCCAAAAAAGCTCCTGGATAATTCCTAGAGAGTTTTACTCCCAAGAATTCTACCCTGACTACTTGTCCGGGTCCGGTTACGTATTATCAGGAAAGGCTGTAGTAAAATTAGCAGAAGTAGCAAAAACAATTCCGCCATTTTGTATCGAAGACGTTCACGTGACTGGAATGCTGGGCGATAAAATAGGATTGAGACGGGAGCATAGTAATAAATTTAATGTTGACGATTTAGGACTTTTTGATCAATGCAACGCCCCCGTCAGCACTCATTACGTTAATATTAAAACTATGAAGCAGTTGTGGGATAAGTTGAGGGTCCATTTGATCACCTGTTGATGTTTCGAAAGTGACGACAATGACCATTGATCAAGAATACGGCTGTGCGTGCGTGTGTACGTGTGTGTGTGTGTGTGTGTGCGTGTGTGTGAGTGCCTTATCTTATATCATTCCTGCCTACCTTAATAGTGTTCTGTCTTAATATGATGATAGATTAATATTAAGATACATTCATAATGATAATCTATCTTTAGTGTTTGTTGGTAGCATTTTTATTTACGTCATAAAAAATATAAATTTGACATATAAAATATAAATAAAATATAGTTTGATAAATTTTTTAATGAACTAAAAATATATTTATTATGTTTTTATTTTATCAGCATCAGCACTGCTCACAACACTCAGTTGCGTAATATCCATTGCCACACAATCTTGGAGTTATGAAACCACAAATGGCAATCCTATTACCGTATTCGCAATCTGAAATTATTATTTCAAATTAATATTAATTGTTAACGTGTAATAAAATCAGCTCAGCCATAATAAATTAGCATAAAATTAACGTAAACCATTCGAAATTAGCACAAATTATGGCGTACTAACTTGGATTAGGCTGCCGGCCGACGCTGTTGAGTTCTGCCGTGTAAGTAGCTTTGTGCAGTGCGCACGTGTAACAGCACATTTGGACGTTGTTGCTATCGTAGCATTGGTTCCTGTTGATGGTCGCACAGTAATTAGCACTGCCCGCGTTGGCCACACAATTGCCCAGCAGTGGCACGGATATTGTGGTTGTGGTAGTGGTCGCAGTAGAAGTGGTAGTGGTTGTTGATGGCTTGGTGGTCGCGGTGGTTGTAGTAGTGGTCGCAGTAGAAGTGGTAGTGGTCGGAATTGGTGCAGTACTAGTAGTAGTAGTTCTTGTAGTCGTAGTAGTAGTGCTAGGAGTAGTAGTAGTAGTAGTTGTTGTAGTAGTAGTTGTTGTTGTTGTTGTTGTTGTAGTAGTGGTGGTTGTAGTAGAAGTAGTAGTGGTAGTAGTTGTTGTTGTGGTGGTGGTTGTAGTAGAAGTAGTGGTATTAATTGTGGTAGGTTGAACGCATTCGGGCAAAGATGCTACTTGTTGAACCCAGTATGTGATGTAATCTTGAACGACTGTGTAACTTTTTGTTTCAAGTCGTCAATCAATAAATAAACAAACGAACATATGAATGAGTTAGCGATTGACGAATGAACGAGCGAATGAATGAATGAATAGATGGATGAATGAATGAATGAATAATTGAATGAATGAATGAATAGATAAATGAAAGAATGAATGAATAGAATTAATGTTTGAATGAATGAAAGGATGAATGAAAAAAAAGATGAATGAATGAATGAAAGAATGAATGAATGAATGGATAGATAGATGAACGAATGAATTCAAAAACTAACGTGAAATCAATATTACTCTTAGGTGACGGTCTTGGTGGTGTGTAACCAACTGTAACGCTAGCTTTCAGATCACTGTTGCTATGTCCCACCGCCTGTTGTGACGTGTTCAATACATTATAACATTAATAATATTAATATTAATAGCGGTTGCAGTTCTTAAGACTTGTCGAACGCTCAACTACATCAATTCGTCCATCCAATCATCCATTCACGCGCTCGAACCCAGTCAATGCGACGCAGAGGCAAGCGTCTTCCCCTATTTCACCATCACCTAACATTCTCACCACTAAACTAGGCGTAGCTTCATTAGAGGTGTTAGTATTCAAAATAGATCTAACCGATCCGGATCCTGAACAACCGATCAGCTTATAATCGGAATTTCCATTCGTGTCAAAGGTCGGAAAAGTTGAACCTGCCACTCTGGCCTGGACGAAGAAGCCTTCAAACTGAGGCCCTGCTAGTGTTACTGCAAGTTTGAATGTGTTCGTGTGTGTTTGTGTGTACGTGTGTGTGTTTGTCTGAATGCTTGTGTGTATGTGTGTGTTTGTGTGTACGTGTGTGTTTGTCTGTGTGTATGTGTGTGTGTGATGGTCTTAGTGCACTTTATTCGCTTGCATGTGTTAACCCATTTTCTGCTGAGGTTTTAGATTTTCGTGATTTTTATATTATTTTATATATGTTGCAGATGCCAATAAAAAAACTTTTACGTATTTTTTCTTTTTTCAAAATTTTAATTTTTAAAAAAGTTAAATTTTAACTTTTAAAAATTTAAATATTAATTTTTAAAAATGTTAGAACGTTTTTTTAAAACGTCCTTTTATAAAGGACGCCAGCAGAATATGACTAATCAACAAATCTATCAACAAATTAGCCAACCATTCAACCAATCAACCATCCAACCAACCAGCCAACCAACCAACCAACCATTCAACCAACCAACCAACTAACCAATCAGCCAGCCAACCAACCAGCCAACCAACCAGTTAATCTCTGTCCAGCGGTATAGCAGTTGGAACTAAAAGTCAAAGTGAATGGAGAGGCAGCGGTTTGAGGACTGCTGCCATGCTGGGGTTTCATATCTCTGCATACGCTGGTGGGAGGTCCACTACTAAAGCCCCTATTTCTCAGGATTAAGCAGCAAATTAAAATTAGAGACGTATTTATGATCTTTAATTGGAGAGAGGCCATCTTTCAATCTTTCCTACTGTGCAATTTTTCACGTCAAATTTTCTGAGGACTGTAAATGTAACAGAAGTTAATACCCGTCAGCAATACGATTAGCAATAATTTTTACTTATAAATTATTTATAATAATATAAATAATTAAACAAACAACATTAAACTTAAATAAACTTTTGATAACAGAGCGTCAAACAAGCAACTTTAACATCGGGACAACTAAATTCTTCTCTCAGATACTTAAATGTTTATGTGATATATAAATACATACATTTATATATATATATATATATATGTTTTTTGTGTGTGTGTGTCTGTGTGTGTCTGTGTGTGTGTGTTTGTGTTCTTTGCAATACGTAAGAAGTAATTAAAACACGTTAAAATAATATTAACAACAACAACAACAACAATAATAATAATATGAACCGTCAATTGTTAACATTCCATCAGTCACGAGTATTGAACGTCACAGTAACACAGGTGCACACTCACGCACGCACACACATACACACATATACACATACATACACACACACATATACATATATATATATATATATATATATATATATATATATAGTGAGAGAGGGAGAGAGAGGGAGAGAGAGAGAGAACAATAAATTGTACTCTGTCTGAGACGTGTACTGAACTCTATTGAGCCTCAACTCGAATTATTCTTTTATTAGTTAGAAATATTATTAATAATGCTAATTGTTATAATTTAAATTATAGTATTAACTGTTGTGTGAATAATTTATTTTTTGACAACATCAGCTCTATTTTTAATTAATTAATTAATTAATTTATATACTCTTTCGTCTGAATTATGATGTCACAGCATTACGAAGTATTTCAATTTAAAATTGCCAGTCGTCCAAGCCAGAAATAACACCTACATTTGCAAAGAATCCTGTCTTGTATATAGACACACGCACGCACACACACATATACACAAACATGAACATACATAGACACACACACACACACACACACACACACACATCATATACACAGATATAAACATAAATACACACACACACGCATATCATATCTAACAATTTGAAACTTATAAAATGAACGAACCAGAAAAAAAATTATAGTAACTCCTAAGTACAAAGAATGCACGCAGTGACTGACAGCAATTCATTCTGAAACGATCGTAAATTTTTTTTTATTTCAATGACCAAACATTTTTTGTTTCATTTCTTCTCTCTCTCTCCTCCTCTCTCTCTCTCTCTCTCTCTCTCTCTCTCTCTCTCTCTCTCTCTCTCTCTCTCTCTCTCTCTACCTACCTGCCTACCTAACTACCTACCTGCCTGCCTGTCTGCCTGCCCACCTACCCCTACTTACCCCCCTACCCCCCTATCTACCTATCTATCTACAAATATCTTTTCTCTCTCTCTCTCTCTCTCTCTCTTTCTCTCTCTCTCTCTCTTCATGCATACGAATATCTCTCACAAATATTCAGTCGTATTTGAATGAGCGTCATTAAATCGTCGTTCGAAGAAGCTTCATTCATTCATCATAACTTCTCATCCGATCACTCATTCTGAATCAGTACTCTGTACAAATAAATAAACGAATAAATAAATAATAGTATAAATAATAATAATAATAATTATTATTATTATTTATTTATTTGTTTGTTTGTTGTTGTTGTGCAAACGGGTCGTGACCAACTGTTTTCATTGCTGCGTGTTTATTAATAGATAAATGAGTGAATGAACGACTGAAAGAATGAAATGATTGAACTGAATGAATGAACGAATGAACATTCATTTACATGAGCTGAACTAATGTAACTTAATGTAACTAATTGGCATTTTCAAAACAGTATAATAAATTTTTAAATGAAATCAATCAAACTTTAAACCAGGAGCAATTAGTTTCAACAGAAATTCAAATTGAATGTAATTTAACATAATTAATCGTCCTGGTTTTGTGTAAAAAAAACTGCTTCCAAAAGCGAAACAATTTTCTATATGAAATAAAACATTTCCAAAATGCTTTTAAGCATTCATCGAGACGTTTTTTCAAAGGCGGAAAACGTTGAAAATAAAACTTCCCAGTTAAATTAACAAGTTTCCATAAACACAACAGAAAATTGTTCCGAGACGTAACAAATTTTTCTAAAATTAACGACCTTTCCCGAACTTAACAATCCTTCAAAAAACCTAACTATCCCTCAAAAACCAAACAACAACAAACAAACAAGCAAGCAAGCAAGCAAACAGTAAGCAAAACTTTCAAATCCATATCTGGATCACCTGTCTTATTATTATTTCAACCCGCCATTCTTCTTATTAAACGTAATGCACACTTCACCGTCAATCCCTTCGGGTGAATCTTTATTTTTATCGCCCTCTGACATTTCATTGTTCGGATCCTCAAACAAATCGTACGAACCCTCTGAAAACTGAGCAGGTTTGGGCAGTTTGGCTTGAAAAAGTAGGCAATCCTTCTGAGACATGCTCATTACAGCCTGCAGTCTCGAGGTTCTGAAGTAGTGGTAGCACGTGCCCTGTAAAGTCCAATCGTTGTCGCGGTTTTTTGTGAAACTTTCAAAAGGTGAGATCAAAATTTCTCCCTCGCTTGGGAAGTATGAGAAGGAGCTTATCTTTATCCCGAACGTGATGTGATAGTTCTCAAAGTATGGCAAAGTTCCCGTGCCTGGTGGGGATGTGTTTGCCGGAAAATTATATATTTGTAATAATTATCAATCAATCAATTAATTAATCAATTGATTAATTAACTTTAAACATTTAATCTTCATTAATAATATTCAATAAACATCTACCAAAAGTATCAGTAACAGATCAGCTCAACGCTGCTTGAAGTGAAACCTTGGCCTGAGAAGTTGTGAATTCGATGGATAAACCTAAAAATTTTACAATTTTACGATATAATTTTAAAAATTAAATCATCTTTGCACTTATTAGCTGAAGAGATCATCATCTTTATCATTATGAAGCGTAGTGACTTCGACATTTCATAATCATACCTACTTTAAATCTTTAAATCCAAGTGCTATAGTTCAATTCCTGTGCTAAAACTCAATTCTAATAGTTTATATCTAATAAAAATGCCGTGATCGTTGCGTCACTGAAGACGACTCTATGGATTCAACTCTATGTTAGATGTCACTATGAAATCGATTAAGGTCTGATCGTGACAAAGGGCAAATGGATTGAAACTCTGAAATAAAATATTTTCAGGATCAAAAGAGTCCTTTAAGAAGTTCAGTCACATTTCGTCTGCTCATCCAACAGTTTTTTTTACAACTACCTCTATAAAAAACGTTTTTAACAAGTATTGTCAGAAAAAATACGAGATAAAATATGTAACTTGGGTGTCATACTCGTCCTAAATGTGTGGGCCAGTTTTTTGTGGAAGGCCCTTTCCTTTGAGGGCCCTTTTTCATTAAAGGCCCTTCCTTGGGAAAACACGTTAAATTTGGAGTACTAATTAATATGATAGGAGAGTATCAATTTAATGTCAGATTTTTAATATTGATTGCATTGTTCATAGTTGTTCATCCGTTCGTTATTTCCTTCATTCACCCATTCAATCAATCATTCGTTCATTCATTTATTCACTCACTCACTCATTTATTCATCCATTCATTTACGTAGGCTTGTACAGCACAATTGCAACGTACATTTACACACAAATTATCACCATCATCATTGTCGCAACAGGATGTATTTACAAAGTTTAAAAGTGTATTACGAGATGACGACGACAACAAAGATGAGGATGATGATGAAGACGATGATGATTATGATGATGATGATGATGATGATGAAGACGATGATTATTATTATTATGATGATGATGATGATGATGATGATGAAGACGATGATGATGATGATGATGAAGTCGATGATGATTACGATGATGATGATGATGACGACGATGATTATTATTATTATTATTATGATGATGATGATGATGATGATGATGATGATGATGATGATGATGATGATGATGATGATGAAAGAGACGATGATGATGATGATGAAGGTGGAGAAAACAAAAGAGAAGATGACGAAGATGATGATGACGACGATGACGAAGAAGAAGAAGAATGATGATAGTTGCAACGATGTTGATGTTAAAAAAAGACAACAAACCAATAGACCTGAAAATCAACAAACATTCCCCTACACACACACACACACACACATTCACACACGCACACACACACACACGAGTGTATATATGTATATATATATATATATATATATATATATATATATATATATATATATATATATATCTAATCTAAAAGTTAATTAATGATTCTAGCTGATAAAATAAATAGTTTTAAGTTTCGAGCAGAGTCTTTGGACTTAAAACTTGTAAATAAATAAAAGTCCTTCATCTATTCGGCAAATATTTTCCACTTTTAAATATATAATAATAATAATATATAAAATAATAATAAATAAAATAATAATAAATAAAATAATAATAAAAAAATAATAAAAAATAATAAATAACGAGACAAAAATGGATGGGCAGATGAAGAGAAAAGGTTATCGAATTCTTATTAATTTTAATTTATTGCACGTAAGAGTTTAATTATTTTGACAAGATTGGGATGGCAAAGAAATTGAATTGGGACAAGGAATACAATAGTTTAGTAGCAGCAGCAGTAGTAGCAGCAGTAGTAGCAGCAGTAGCAGTAGTAGCAGCAGTAGCAGTAGTAGCAGCAGTAGTAGCAGCAGTAGTAGTAGCAAAAGTAACCACAATAACAGCAGTAGTAGTAATAATTAATAGTAGTAAAAGTACTAATAGATTATTCTTAATCGCTTAGATATGGGCTAGTATAAACTAATAATGATGATATAAATTAAGGCAAGTTCATCAAACAGTCAGTCGTCTGATTTTTTCTTTCATTTTCGTTTAAATTTATAAAATACTTGTTAGTTCGTTCCTTCGTTCTTTCTTTCGTTCGTTCATTCATTCATTCATTCGTTCGTTCATTCGTTCGTTCGTTCGTTCGTTCATTCATTCATTCATTTATTTATTTATTCATTCATTCGTTCATTCATTTGTTCATTTATTTGTCATTCAACAACAACAAACAACAACAATAATAGTTATAATGAAAACAATCACTTTTATTTCTACTCTAGATTCCGTGTCACCGGATAGCATAACTAGGAGGAAAATAAGTGGCGATATTAATTATAACAACAGTAATAATAATAATAATAACAACAACAACAATAATATTAATAATAACAATAGTATAAATAGTAGTAGCAGTAGTAGCGTCGTTGTTGGCATTGGTAGGAAAGTATCGTTCAGATCCGAATTAAAAATTTCCGTTTCAAGGAAGCAGTTGACGTCACCGCCGCCACCACCGGCGACAACAACATTGGTAGCAGCAGCAGCAGCAACTTCATCAGCTTCATCCCCAACACCGACAAGATCATCATTATCAGTATCGAATTCAACATCGACAACACCACCAGCTACTCCAAGATTGTTGCTAGCTTTCCCGCAGTACAATCCTTATCTCATCAACAACAACATCAACAACAACGTCAACAACAAGATCGTCAGCAGAAAATCAACTCATAACAAACACAGAATGAAAAATCAACTCAGTTACGTTGAGAGTAGCGTTGGTGGTGCTAGCAACAACAACAACATCAACAAAAACAACAACAACAGCAACTTCAACAACATCATCAACAACAACATCAACAACAACAACAAAAATTACCTCAATTATAACAGCAGCGCTTCAAACGTTTATATCCGGAATGATAGGCCAGATGACAATGAAACAGTTCACAATAATAATATTAATAATAACAACAACAACAATAACAACAACAACAACAACAATAATAATAATAATAACGTTAATATTAATAACAATTATGGTTATTATCAGCCCTTGGATTTTGATAAAATTTTGAACTCCAAAAGGATAAACAATGACGTCATCATAGGCGGTGTCAACATCAATTACAAAAACAACAACAACAACAACAACAACAACAACATTAGCATCAACAACAACATCAACAACATCAACATCAACAACATCAACAACAACTACATCAACACGGGTAAACTAAACGTCAATTTCCTACATAACCCCAAAAGAATAATAAACAGGCAACCGACCATAGACAGAAAATTATTTTTGACACCAATTATCGCCCCATCGACAACAACATCATTATCATCTACAACATCATCGTCATCAACAACAACATTATCATCATCATCAACAACAACATTATCATCATCAACAACAACATCGTCAACAACAACAACAGCATCGTCACATCAATACAGACCGCAAAATAATTCTTGCAGTTACACACCAGAACCTGGCTATCATCACTTCAACCCAAAATTTCTATTCAACGACAACAACAATGACATTAATAACACTAATAATGACAACAATAACCACAATACTAATGACATTAATAATAGAAATGACCGTTCAAATGCTGCAATGCGCTCAAATCCATTAGCAGTTCAGGGATATAAGTTAATAATGACATCATTACATGACATCAACAACAACAACAGCAATAATAACATCATCAACAACAACAACAATGTCAACAATAACATCAACAACAACAACGTCAACAACAACAACATTAACAACAGCATCAACGTTTCAAATGAAAATTTTAACTATAGCAAACCGCCAAGAGCCAAGTCCCCGATTAAGAAAAACAAAAAACAAACTTCAACAAAAACATCAACAGCAACAACTACTACAACTACTGCTACTACTGCTGCTGCTACTGCTACCACCACTACTATTACTACTGATACAAGAAAATCATCAACAACCCCAACTACGGCAAATATAAACAGAACTGTGCTAAACAGCAACAAAACATTCACAAACAACAACAACACAGATTTAAGCACAAGCCTAAGTATCAACAACGACACAACAATCAACAAACCACCAATAAAAATCAACAACAACGCCAACAACAACAACAACAACAACAGCAGCAACATCAACAAATGTGACACAACAACTAAGACACCTAATAAAAGATTGAGTATTAGCAGTAACGATTTGAAACTTGATCAAGAATTTGATGATGGTAACTTTACAATTACAAATCTAAACAACGATAACTTATACGATTTCAGCGGTAACAGTAAACGAAACAGCAGTATCAGGAGTGGCAAATCATCAGAGATGGCTCGGAGTACTGACGACTTGTTTCAGGATAGCAAGGCACAAATTAGGAAGCAGTCTTTTAAACATTTGGTTCGTTCGTTCGTTCGTTCGTCGATTGGTTGAATAATCATTGGTTGGTTGACTGACTGATTGGTTAGTTATCTGGTTGGTGGGTTGTTTTGTTGGCTGGGGTAACCGAAGATTACAAATTTGGTTAAATAATTAGTCAAATACTTATTTTTATTTCAATAAATTCACAGCAGGAAAAACGACACAGTGCATCGGCACTTGATTACGAAAGTGCAGACGCCTTGGAAAAACCCAAGAAGTTTCAACCAGACAGCTGTTCCCTCAAGCCCGGGAGTTCCACACTTTCGATTTCAAAGGTTTCTGTTTTTAAATTTTTGGGTCTTTAGTTTTGTTTCATTTTTTAATAATTCACATCAATTAAGAAAAAATTTAGTTTAGAACTTTTTGAAAGATGTGGAGGAGCTAGTTAATGAGTGATTGAGAATGAATGAATGAGAATGAATGAATGAGAATGAATGAATGAGAATGAATGAATGAGAATGAATGATTGATTGATTAAGTAAATGAATGAGCATATAAATGAATGAAAGAATTAAATTTTGTTTGAAACTAATCATAAAATTTGTTACCTGTTTTAATAAACCAGGCCTCAAATTGGTTCCTCAGAAAATACGTTGAAAGACAGGAGAGCAAAATAAGTAAGCGCTAGAAAAAGTATAATAACAATAGTAGTAGCAGCAGTAGTAGTAGTAGCAACAACAGCAGCAGTAGTAGTAATAGAAGAGTAAAAAGAAGTAGCAATAGTTGTAATAGTAATAATTGTAGTAATAGTAGTTTTTTTTACATTAATCAGCAGTTTTTTAAGACGAGATGTTACCTTAATTATATCAAAATTATTCGCACAATTCCTTAAATGTATGCGATTTCTATATTAAGAAATGAAAATCTAAAAATAAGAAGATTGAATTTCTTATGAAAATTGTAACTTGAAATTATTTCATTTTGTGAAGATTCGCGCAAGAAGAGCGTCAGCTGCAGGGATCTGGGCGGCGTGGATTGCGAAGGTTCTATATTTCAATTTTCAACTATTCTTTCATCCGCTCATTCATCCATCCATTCATTCATCCATTTATCTATTTATTCATTCAATTTATCCATCCATTCATTTATTTCAGCCATCCTTCAATAAATTCGTTCGTTTGCTTGCTTATTATCATTTATTGCTTTTAGCATCTCGCATGCATCAGACGTATGAATGTGTGAAAATCCTCGCCTGATTACACACGTTCACTTGTCACAATCGGGGATCGCTTGCGTTCGAACTCGGTTGCCGAAAGGCAGGACCAACAATCGAGTTTAGCCATAGACTATCTCGTAGTTCGAATACGTTTCACTTTTTTGTGTTTTTTAATGATTTGTTATAGGATGGCTGTGGAAAAAGCAGGATAAGTCAGTGATGAAGAAGACGAAGTGGAAGATTTGGTGGTGTGTCTTGGAGAAGAAGAAATTGAATTTCTATAAAGATGAGAAGGTAGTTGAAGTTGATGTCGTTATTTCATCTGCTGCTAAAGCTGCTGCTGTAGAGGAAGCTGTTGGTGTTGAAGCTGCCGATGTTGAAGCTGCTGTTACGGGAGCTGCTGATGCTCCTAATATTGTCGTCGTCGTTGATGCTGTGAGATGAATGTTTTTAAGTTGTTTGTGGATTGTTGCCGAAACATAAAATGAAATAATTTTAAATGAAAATCTATAACTGAAAATAAATTCCTTTAAACCGAAGAGTAAGCAAGCAGATGGCTCCATATATTTACCTGGTCTCCAGATAGCACCCGCCCCGGAAGTTAAAAGTCGAAAATTGTTAGTGCATAATTGTTATACAAAAACACATACAAACACACATACACGCATACACACACACACACACACACGCATAAAAACAGTGCTTTTAAGGCATTTCATTCAGGCTACACTTTCTTTTTTGCGACTGAAAGAAAAGACGAGCTGATGAAGTTAGTTTAAAAATTATTTGTATCGTCTCGTTATCTGTTGTATCGGTTCGTTGTTTCTTGTACGGTTTCGTATCGTTTTGTTTCCTAGGATTAAACAGCGCAAATTATTACTTTTTGAATTAGCACATACTATTTTAATTTTTCGAGGTGGATGAACAAGATGGCCCTGGCCTCGCTGACTGATTTCGAAGTCCAACCCTGCCAACTAATTGCCGGCTTTCAAAAAGATGATGACGGTTCGTGTTGCTGTGGTTGCTGAAGCTGCTGCTGATGTGGTTGATGATGATGAGGGTGGTGGTGGTGGTGTAAATGATGATGATGTTTTTTGTGGTTGGTGTTGTTGATGATGATGACGTTTTTGATGTTGTTGATGTTTTCGAAATTTTTATAGATGTTGAGATATTTTTTTGCTCATTTTAAATAAAAAAAATATTTTTTACCTTATAAAAAAAATATTTAAAATGATGAAAACGTGGAATTATGAAATTAAAATAACAAAATAGTAGCAATAATAATAACAATAAGACGTAATTTTAACAACGTCATCAACAACAACAACGTCATCAACAACAACATCAACAACAACAATACAGATGATGTTTCTCGCCAAACGAGTGTCTATAGCGGAAACAGTGACGAGAATTTAAGTTCCGAATGTTGTTCCAGCCCATCTCTTGGGGCCAGTGTCGAGGGTGTGTTTTTATTTTTTTTTATTTTCTATTATCTTTTTATGATCTTTGGGTATTGGCGATGAATTTGTAATTTTGGAGAAGGGATTTTTTTCGGTGGTGAATTCTTCGTAATTAATTTATATATCACAATGAATGAATGAATGAATGATGAATGAATAAATGAACAAATGGATGGATGAATGAATAAATGAATGAATGAATGAAATTGAATCTCATAAAAGACCTAAGCTCATTGAAAAGATTGTCAAAGAGTTCAGAAAACTTATCAGAAAACAGATTATCTCTGCAACAGAATGCGTTGTCTCTTCTTTATTACAAGCTGTCAAATTTGAAACATCAACTTAAGGTTTGAGTTTATTCATTTATTCGTTCACTCATTCATTCACTCATTCATTCATTTATTCATTCACTCTTACAACAAAATGCTATGTCGCTACCATTTTACAAGCTATCTTTTTCGAAATATCAGATAAAAGTTTGGGTTTATTCTTTCATTTAATTATTCATTCGTTCATTCATTCATTCATGTCCACATTAGCTTTCTAATTTAAATGAAACGCCATTTATGATTTCCTATTTTCCTTCATCCGTTCTTCCATTCGTTCACACACACACACATACACACAAACATACACACAAACGGACAGGAGAATGAGAGCGAACTCAGGCTATACAATGTTCTTATGGAAGAAAATCGAATTATCGACGGAGAAATTTTGCGAGAGTTCCTGGCGAAAAATCCGAATATAATCGGTCGGTTAAACGGTTTAAATAACGATTCTAATCGGGAGAACTCTAAAATAAAGACTACTAAAAATGATCGTGTTGAGGACGATAGCGACGATGACGTGGCAAGGAGAAGCACAATAAAACTTCAAATTAATGACAGTGATGTCAATAACAACGACATTGACATCGTCAACAACAACAACAACATGCAAAAAAACATGTCACCAATTAGCGATGTTATCGATTTGAACGAAGTACTCGATGAATTAGCGGTTAGTTTCGAGTCTGAAAACTCAAATTGATCATAGTTGTTCATTCGCATGACGATCATTCAATTATTCGTCCCATCCTATATTCCTCCACTCATTTATTCATTTGTTTATCCGAGACTTTAATGAAAATTTAATTTCAAATTTCGTATTTTTTTAACTTTAGAGCCACGATTAACCTGACCAAAAAAAGATGAACCCATCCATTTATTGACAGCTAGCTAGTTAAATAAACTACCTTTATCTCGAATTGTGTTTAAATTTCAATAGAAAAAGTGTAAACTGTGTTTAATAATTACATTCCCGCCCTGATCTTACCCTCATTGCTGTTCATATTCTGATTTATTTTTATAATTATTCATAGTTTCCGTCTCGTATAGATTTAACGAGCCTGTTGTTTCAATGCTATGAAGCTTTCTATTCATATAGCTACACATTTTCGTAATAATAATATTATTTTTGATACAAACCTCAGCGAGTAAGTTGTTTTAAAATTATCCTAGAAAAGTTATCATCGTCATTCTTCAGAGCCTTACGTTTTATTGCATACAGTCAGTGGCGTCACTAGGGGGGTGCGGACCGCACCGGGTTAGGGTTAGCATCGGGTTTTGGTGTCACTCTCACAAGGGGTGAGGGACTCGACTTTATGATGTGCCGCGCTCAAGGTTACGACAATGCTGCGACTATGGCTAGAATCCATGGGGGTGTACAAGCCATTTTGAAAAGAAAGAACAGGAAAGCTATTTTTAATGGTTGTGTGGACCATTCTGTTAACTTGTGTGGCCAACACTCTTTTGCTGAAAATGCTTCGTGCGTGACTTTTTTTGGAACTCTTGAGACAATGTTTTCATTCTTTGCTGCTTCCACTCACCGATGGGATGTTTTAATGAACCACACTGGAGTTTCATTAAAATGATTATCAACAACACGCTGGAGTTTTCATCACGCAGCAGTAAAGGCAGTGAAAGAAAAATTCGATAAATGTGTGGCGGCAATAGAAGGTCTATGTGATCCAGGGGAAAATCTAGACACAAGAGGTACAGCCCGAGGTCTTTTACCTACTATCTGCAATTTCACTTTTCTGTGCTACCTCTTCTTTTGGTGTGATGTACTTGAAGAAGTAAATCTAACGCAGACTAAGGGCTTAAGTCTTGACAAGGTGATGACAAAGCTAGAGACACTAATACTTTTTATGTATGAGAAGCGCAATTATCTTGTGGAGCAGGCAGTTGAACAGGCACTTATAAAATCAGACCAATATGGAATTTTAGTAGAGAGCAGACCCAGGTTCAAGAAGAGGATGGCAGGCGAGCGCGAGAGAGATGCTGGACTTACTCTGCAGGAAGAAAACACGAGAGCGATGTATGAGTGTATTGATCGTTTCCATTCTGAACTCCAGATCAAATCAAGAGCCATCAAGGAAGTAGCAGCCATGTTTGAGGTTGTTCAAGCCAAGAGTTTGATATCTGCTACTGAAGAAGAGTTATTGGTAAACATTCCAAAATTAACCACATTCTATGATGAGTTACCAGAGATAGAGCTTTTATTAGAAATACCAAGACTGAGAAGACAACTAAAGGCAGCAGAAATTGATCTTGAAGAAGCCAAAGACTGGTCAGTACTTGACATTTTGAAATTCATAGTTGAATGGGACTTCCTAGAATCTCTCCCATATCTCTCAGTGAGCCTACAATTATTTCTTACAATCTGTGTGTCTGTGGCTTCATGTGAGAGAAGTTTTTCAAAGCTAAAGATTATAAAGAACTATTTGCGATCTACTATGGGACAGTCTAGGCTTTCTGATCTTGCAATATTATCAATGAAAAGAGATTTGGCAAAAGAAGTTGATTTTGATGAAGTAATTAACAAGTTTGCATCTCTAAAGGCGAGGAAAGGGAAGTTCTGATTTAATTGAGATTTTATTTACATAAAATTTAATGTAAAAATAACAATTAAAAAAGTTTTATTTCTTAAAATCTTTGATAGATCACAATTTTTTTTAAAGAATAAAAAAACCGACCTTGAATTATTTTTTTTTTTATTTTCGCTGTAAATTTATTTCTAAATTTTGCTAAGAATGCTCTATGTCTATGGGGTGTCGGTGTCATGAGAGGGATGACACCATGAGTTACCGCACCGGGTGACACAAACCCTAGTGACGCCACTGCATACAGTAGCAGAATTTAAACATAAATGGGAAAAATAGATACACACATACTTACAGGCACGCACACAAACACACAAGCATACATACAAACATAAATATACACACGTACACGCATATAAACACACACACACACATACAGACACAGAAACATAATTTCAAAACAGGATAGTCTGATAAAACATGGTCATATTTTAAACCCAGAATGGATGGCTGACACGCCAAACATCAAATTTTCGTGATTGACATTTGAAAACCCCGCCTCTTCAATCATCTCACTAAACGTCTCCTACAAAATTGTGAATAAATTAAGCATATTATGAACAAATTAAGTTGAGCATGATTACAATATGTATGTATTACGCTGATTATGCTAAGATTTGGATGCATGCTTATTCCAACAAGATACATATTTTAAAAAATTATGCTAAAGTTTGAATATACTAGGCTTGGTAGGCTCTAAAACCCGAATAAATTATGCAAATTATATAGAAATAATAATAAATTAATGATGTTACTTGATCAGGGAATTGTCTGATGCTTTCCACTAAGTATTTGTAAGATTTGTAATCACCTATTTATGAATATGAAATATAAAAATTATGAAAATAAATATCATTATAATATTGTTACAATAATAATATAAATTATATTAATAATTCTTTATTTTATTTACCTATTCATTCATTTATTTACAAATTATACCTGCAATAAGCTTGCCCATCACGGGAATGATGTGGAATGAGTAGTTGTCATACAAACTGTTGGAAGTGAATTCATATAAAATTATTCTTACTGACATAATTAACATTGTTATTGTTACAATTAGTGCTAGCTGAAAGGGCAAACTAGTGAATGATAGTGAAATGAATGAATGAATGAATTAATTAATTAATTAATTAATTAATTAATTAACAGAATGAATGAATAATCAAAATAAATAATAAACTTCCTTTACAAACTTCCTAAGAAAGAAATTATCAACTCTACTGAACTCGAGGCAGGCAAATCGGCCACCAGGTTTCAAAACTCTATAAGCTTCCTTCAAAACCTTCAACGTCAACAACAACAATAACAATCCTAATAAAAACAATAATAACAATAATGATAATAACAATAACTAACTTTATCAATGTGAGTCATATTTCTTATTCCATATGCAACAGTATAAACATCAAATTGGTTTTCAGAAAAAGGCAAATTTTCCGCATTGCCTTGCACCCATGTTATTTCTGAGGAAAAAGATTAAATACTTATTTGTATAATAAAAAAATTGTAAAATAAATTTGGAACCATTTTGGAACCCTTTAGATTTGGCTTTATCTCTGCCGACATTGAGCATGGCCTGATTGATATCTAGTACTGTGACGGTGGCTGACTTGGAGGAATTTTTTAAATATTGCAGGTACCGAAAGCTGATATCACCTTTAGAAATTTAGAATTAAATTTTTCAATATTAAAGTGGGATAATATAAAAATAGTTAATTGATTGAATCTAAAGTTTTAAAAAAATATTTAAAAAAGCATACCTTCTTAATAGATAAAATAAAAAATTATGTATATTATAATTATAATAATTACCAGTTCCACCAGCGACATCTAGCAAATTAGTGTCACTAATTGGTCCTACGCTCTTAATAAAACAATCCTTCCATAACCGGTGTATTCCAGCACTCATAACATCATTCATGAGATCATATTTGTCAGCCACATTATGGAAAACTTGGTAAACTGTAAATAAAAACAGTGTGGTTCATTGATCAAATTGAAATAATTAAATGTAAGTAAGTAAACTAATTTTATTTTCAACAATTTAATTAATCTCACCTCTCTCTTCTTTTTCTTTCTCACTGACAGTTTCAAATCCGAAGTGTGTCTGATTAGTGTTAGTTGAAAAGTAACGAAATTGATCGATCAAATTTCGACATTTCGGGGAGTTATTTGGTTTACATATAAGCAGGGACTTAGAAAACCGTGCCAAGAACATTTTTAAGAAGAATGTCAAGCTAATACTTTTTTCAATTTTAGTTTGTAAAATTTAAAAGTGAACAACTAAAAGTGAACAATTTGCACAAAAAACGGTAAAAATTTGTAAGTAATTAAATTGATCTTAGAGAAAATTGTTTTTATTGAAAACAAAAGTTATTTTATAAGTTATATATTTTCGTATTTCTACAATAAATTTTTAGTCAACTAAATTAATTTTTAATCGACCATTTTGGGTATCTAACTAAAGTAAAGGTCGTCCTTAACATTGTACTGAATTTTAATAAATTGTTTCGCTTTAAAATTTATTTAAGATAAGATGTTAAGAGTCGCGAAGTCTCTGTTTTCTGTTGCCAGGTAGTTTCATAATCACATAATTTCACAAATTGTAAGCAAATTTTACTTAAATTTGTTTGAAATCGCAGTCGCTTGTCCGGCAAACTGGTCTCAGGAAACTGCGCCATGATGGCCGTTAGAAGCAAGCACAAGCTGCCGGATTTGCCGTATGATTTCAACGCCCTTGAACCGTACATATCTGCTGACATAATGAAGATTCATTATGAAAAACACCACCAAGCCTACGTCACTAATCTTAATATTGCAGAAGAGAAACTGGCTGAAGCTCAAGCTAAGGGTAACTTTTGTAACCCTTTTTCGCCATTTTACCGTAAATTATTATATTATAAATTACATTTTCCACACCAGGTGACATTAAGACTATAATATCTCTGGCCCCTGCACTGAGATTCAATGGTGGTGGCCACATCAACCATTCAATTTTCTGGCAGAATCTTGGCCCTAAATCTGCAGAGGAGCCCACTGGTATGAGATATTTTAAAATCAGTGATGTGCTATCATATTTTTCATTAATTTTGTTTAAATATTTAAGAGCAATTTTTGAAAACAATGCTCATCACAACATTAACTTTGCTTATTCATCCAATTTGATATATATCACATCCACTTTTTGATAAAATCTAAAAAACAAATATTTTCACTGATCCTTACCACAAACAGGCGACTTGAAAGCAGCCATTGACAGAGATTTTGGATCTTTTGATAACCTAAAAACCCAACTTAGCACAGCCAGCGTGGCAGTTCAGGGCTCGGGTTGGGGTTGGTTGGGGTACAACAAACAGTCAGGTAAACTTCAGGTGGCCACCTGTCCTAATCAAGACCCCTTAGAGCCCACTACTGGTTATTATTATTATTATTGTTGGTGTTGTTGATGATGATGTTGTTGTTGTTTTTAATGAATGAATGAATTAATTAATCAATTAATTAATGATTGAGTTAGTGGGCTGAATATATAATATTTGAAAATAGATGTTAAGATTTTTTTTCCCCTGTTTCTAACGAAATCAGGATTGATCCCATTGTTTGGGATCGATGTGTGGGAGCATGCTTACTACCTCCAGTACAAAAATGTCCGACCTGATTATGTCAAGGCCATCTGGAATGTTGCCAACTGGAAAGATATTGCGGAGAGATTGGCTAAGGCCAAAAAATGAATGAATGAATGAATGAAAGATGGATTGATTGAGTTGATGGAGGAATGAATGAATTACAGGGTGATTAAGATGAGTTAATGAATGAATGAATGAACTGATAAATGGATGAGTAATTGAATGATTGAATACAAACATTTGGAGGTATTGATCAAGAAATGAGTTGAATGAATATGAGTGTGGAAATAAGATCTATATTGGTGTAACAATTTTGATGATGACGATGACGACGATGAGATTGGTAAAAGTTTATACAGGGGTTATGATTAACTGTAGTGAATTTTTAAACTTCAACAATTTGACAGTCCTCTTGTTTTCGGTTTATTTAGCCACTTTTTCATTATTATTTTTGTTTTTGTTATCGTTATTTTAATTATTGTTTTATTGGAAAGATTATTTTTGTTATAGATACCTGCCAGAAAAATTTTTTAGCACACATCTTTTTTTGATGATTAGTTCTAGAATATAAACAAAATTTTAAATATTTTATTGGTTTTTTTTCTTAAAAAATTTGGTTTTCGAGTTTGTGTGTGTGTTGTGTGAGTGTGTGTGTGTGTGTTAATTGAATTGAAAGTCGTCAACAAATCTCAAAACTTTTACTTATGCTGGTTTCATTAATTACGGAAGATCGTTAACCGCCTAACAACCACTGGAAAATGATAGTTTAAACGAATGTGTTGATGATGATGAGAAGGATGATGATGAAAATGATGACGACCATCATCACCGTCATCATGTGTATTTCTAGTGTTCATTGTATACACACAAACAAACACACACAGAGAGAGAGAGAGAGAGAGAGAGAGTTCTATGTAAAAACGTGAGTTGGTGTTTGCTTAGAACTAACAATAATTTCGCGTTGGTCTGTGGAACTGCACTTTTTCCATTCCTCCATTCATTCGTTCGTTCGTTCATGTACTCATTCATTCGTTCGTTTAATCATTCAGTCATTCATTTCTTCATTCATTCAATTACCCATTCAATGAATTGTCGAATGTGAATTAGAACAAGTAAGTGAATCAATGAGTAAATGAATGAATAAACAAAATGACTGAATGAATCCATGCATGCATTTCATGAATGAATGAATTCAGTAATAAATCATTCAATCTATGAACAAAATGCGAATTTAAAAATGAACGAACGAACGAATAAATAAGTTAAAGAATATGTGTAGATGGAAGAGCAAATAAAAACACAAATGAACGAACCAACAAACGAACAGATGAACGAACAGATAAACGAACGAATAAATGAACGATGGAATGAAGGAAAGTAGGAATGAAATTATTATGAAGAAAAAACTCCATCGAATGATAGACTGACAAATCGCCACTGGGAATAAATTTATTAACAATTCCGTTCTTACCTTCTTCCAAGTTTTCTTTCTTCTTACAAAAATATGTCAGCATTCAATATTTTCTTTGTTTACTATTTATAAAAGTAAAAAATTTACTCTTATGTATAACATGATTAACTATAGTAGTAGTAGTAGTAGTAGTAGTAGTAGTAGTAGTAGTAGTAGTAGTAATAGTAGTAGTCGTAGAGTAGTAGTAGTAGTAGTCGTAGAGTAGTAGTAGTAGTAGTAGTAGTAGTAGTAGTAGTAGTAGTAGTAGTAATAGTAGTAGTAGTAGTAGTAGTAGTAGTAGTAGTAGTAGTAGTAGTAGTAGTAGTAGTAGTAGTAGTAGTAGTAGTAGTAGTAGTCGTAGAGTAGTCGTATAGAAGTAGTAGTAGTAGTCGTAGAGTAGTAGTAATAGTAGTAGTAGTCGTAGTAGTAGTAGTAAGTTGATAAAAAGAAATTATCAAAGCACAAGTGAACGATTGCTAGAGAGTAACTTGTAATCAAATTATTGAGTTCTTCTTTGGCCGGCCAGCCAGAGTGAAGTGACCGGACAAACAATTGAACATGCACACAAACACACACACACATACAAACACACACATACATTCTTGTTGAATGATAATTGTGGAACCAGGATGAACGAGCGAAAGAACGATCAAACAAATGAACGAATGGGTGAACGAACGAGTGAATAAATGAATGAAAGAATGAATTAATACACAAATGAATGAATGAATAAATAAATAAATGATTGACATTTTTGCTAACCAATCAGAGAAAATAAAGGCGTGGCCTTGCAGTGTTTGCTCAAGGGCTCTGCAAATATTGGAAGCAAAAATATACATGGAAGCGTATGCATGCATTGTATGAATGCAAGTTTGTATGTGTGTGTGTTTGTTTGTATGTACGTTTGTATGCATGTATGTATGTGCGTGTGCGCATGTATGTGTGTGTGTTTGCGTATGCTCATGTATGTGTGTGTGCGTGCATGTATATGTGTGTGTGCTTATATGTTGTTTTTTTAATCTTTACCCTATATCTTATTTTAAACAACAGATCATTAAAATACTACTACTACTACTACTACTACTACTACTACTACTATAACTACTACTACTACTACTACAACTTCGAAGCACACAATGTAGTAAGTAACCACAGCTTCACTTTCTACTTCCACATTCTATTGATTAGGTAAATATCCAACACGAACGTATATATATATGTGTGTGCGTGCGCGCGCGCGTGTGTGTGTGCGTGTGCGTGTGTGATAGATAGAATCGCTAAACTACTTATTAATAATAGATATTAAAATTCTACGATCCAGAAAATAAAAGAACGCAAAGAACTAAAAATCATCAGCAACAACAACATCAACAACAAAAAAATCATCATCCACAACAACAACAATGCAACTAACAATAGTAACAAAAATAACATAGTAATATATTATAAAAATCACATGTCAACCGCTTTCGAATAGAACCAAAAAATCATGAAAAGAATCATAAAACAACAAAAACGCTAGTATTAAACTGCGAATATCCTACTACTCCACCAAAGAACGTCATCTCATGTGATGAAAAATAACTGCACTAGTAAACTAGAATCGACAATAATGTATCATAGCCACTTAGTATATTCGAAGACGATGTAGAAATACCGAAAAAGCATTCTTGTACTATCATGCTTAAATGTTCTATTAGGCTTAAAATAAATAAAAATTTTGGTTTTGAACTCAAGGACCATGACAATGATATACCATCTACCGGCAGAAAAATCGAAAAATTTGCAGTGATTTTCATTAATATATACATATACATATATATATATATATATATATATATATATATATATATATATATATATATATATATATATATTTACAATAGTCTATAAATTCTACCGAATGTTTGGCATTAATATGTTTGTAGGTCGTTTTTTCGATTTTTCTTACTAAAGTTTTTTGATGAACGTTTA